CTCGCATCCTCCGAAAACATGATGTTGCTGAGCATGATGGAGCTTGTGGGTGGTGTGGGTGGTGTCTTATGGCCGCAAACGCTCCGCAAACAGAACGGAGGCGCGGCGGACGGTGAACGGCATCACCGTCCTGACATGGCCCCTGCAGCCACCTGACCTCAATCCAACTGAGAATCTCTGCAAAATTGCTGGGCTGAAGCAGCACGATGTTGAAATCACCCCCAGAAACCAGTATGAGCTGTGGCGAGTGTGCCGGGAGGCATAGAAGTTGATTTCTCCTCACGAGCGCAAAAAGATCGTCGATTCAATGCGGCAGTGTATGCAAGAGATCATCAAGGCCAAGGGAGGGGTTACAAAGTGGTGGATGTATCTGAAATAGGCCAGGACTGACTTCTAGACTTTAGTTTAGTTGAATGCTTTTTAGAAATCACACTATTCCGTGTATCCTGTTGGCGGTTTATGATAGTGCGGGCGTTGGCCATAAGTTTTGACCCGCCTTTTACATATACTTGACCACAGTAGTCCCCAGATGACTCCGTCTTTCAGCATTTTTCATTTCTACTTCACTATTCAGCCTGATTCACAGGTCCTCGACCAAAAATTTAGTAGCTTACAGCCCAAATCTTCAGAATTCGAAAAATCTGCATGGTGGGTGAAAACTTTTGACCACCACTGTATTACTATAGACGATTATTACTATACGCAGTAACTGTGTATACTTAGGTATGGCAAATGAACTACTGTTTTACTTCCGTATGGAAATAATGTAGGAAATGCAAGTACCGGTAAATTTCATACTGTATGTGAAAATCCGTGTCGTTGGGTTTCATTCCACGTGACTTCTCTACGATTTGAAGAATGTGTTGTTACATTGGAGACGCGTCGACTGCATGCGCCCACCGCACACACTATGCACCCAAACCACGTTCTCCACTTACTAAGTTACTAGTACTGTAGTTTCCACGTGCCGTGCACCTTGGGCTGCGTTCGTTTTTAGCTGCCTTGTAGAATAGAGTACAGTCATTCTACCGATAACAGGTAGAGGTAGGTGCACGAACGCTGTCCTACCGGATTTAATGTGTGCGTGAAATTTGTTCTTCTCTACAAAATCATTGTATACAGCTCCTTGATCTTGCTGGAAATCCTGTACGTCTACCAATTTCTACCAGCTTCTACCTGATAGAGCCGGTAAAGAAAGGTAGAATCTACTCAAGTAGAAAAAAGGAACGCGTCTACCGAAAGAACTCAAACAAGTAGTTTCTACCCAAACCTGTACATCAAAACGAACGCCCCTATGAACTTAACCATGGGTAAATCCGGAAACGGCGAAAAACATTTCAAAACGTCCTACAGACGACCGAATGTAGGAAAGCACTTGTATGGCATACGAATTTTCATACGTAATTACTTAGAGCGAAGCCTCCCTTATAATTATCTACTCCTGGGTTCAAACCACATGGAAGTAATGCACAGAGTTACCATGGTTACAGGTGTGGCAGTACGCACTGCACAATGTACATGTAGACACGTACACATGATAATCATTACGTAGAAGCATGTTTTGAACCGTGGCGTACGGCCGTCAGCACACTACGTTCACTGACTCCCATTTACGTCTATGGTGAAAATCCAGAACGGGTGGTCGTGTCATCAGACAGGCACAGCTTCTTGGCGCGTACACGTTTTTTGGAGAAATTTGAAAATTCAAACGCACGTACAAGGTCACTTGGGAAAAGACTGGGGGAGATATGAGCGTCCACCCAAAGTCGTGTACAGTCGTCCCTCTCTAATCCGGCACCTTTTGCAACGGCATTTTCTGCTGGATAAACAAGGGTGCTGGATTATCAAATCCTGCCCTCCAACCCGGCCCACCTATTAACATACATGTTTGTGTCATACGTCAAAACGTAGGGATTTTCTGTGTCAATCCAAGTACTTTGTGGAATGCATGTCTATAACATACACTTGGGAATATCCTATGCACTGGCATAGGATACTCCCAAGTGTATGTTACATGTACATCTGTTGTGTATGTTACAATGCTCCCTGACGGTATGCGATGTACAACTGCTGGATTAGAAAATCGAATTATGTACAGTTTGAGTGATTTGTTGCAGAAAATCGCTGCTGGAGGCGGAATTCAAGTGCCGGATTAAAGCGTAGAAAATGAACTGAAAAAATCCGTTTTGCCAGAAAGTGTGCTGGTTTGCAAGGGTGCTGGATACACAAGTGCCGGATTAGAGAGGGACGATTGTACTGTAATTTCACAATTTTTGGGTACTTTCAGTGCGTCTGTTTCATACCTAAAATTTCAATACACCGAACAAACACTAACACACATAATCCAATAGGGAGTTGCTTCTCTGTACCTAAAATTTCTGTTCACCTAGCCTGGCCTTTTGCTCTCATACTACCGAAAATATTGAGCACCTCAAATTTCTGAAATTAACGTAACCCTCCCCCACGTTTCCTTTGGTCCCGTTGTCACCCCGCGGGCCCGCCCACGGATCATTATAGCAACCGACCAAAAACTCCTTACGTAGACGTAGCGCTGCGTGCCGTAGTGAGATGACAGCCTAAAGGCGCGACTACAGGTCAGACCTCGCTATAACGTAATCTCTGGGGGATGGGAGAAATTATGTTATAGCGAGGTTTATGTTATAGTGAGTTGTGCACACCAATATGCAATATGTATGTCAAAATGACCCTCTTCACTTACTGATTACAACTGTACTGTTTTACATACAGGTATGATGATGACTAGCAAAGATGTGTACAGGCTTGTGCCGCTTGTCAGCAAAGGGGTGACAAGAGTCATGTAGTGCGCGCGTGTACTTGTACATGTGACAAGATTAGAGCCTATAAAAAGTAATGGGAGTGGTAAAATACCGGTATTTTACTACTCCCTGCTTCCGAGGTGGACGGCTCCATGATCCAGTCTCGAATTCGTCGCGAGATCGAGAAGGCATGTAGTCATTTTTATACGAGTTTTTACGTTATGCTGAGGTCTCCGTACGGCCGTGCGCCCCAGACCCAGCAAACCGTGCGTTATAGCGAGGAAATTTTGTACAGAAGTGATGCGGTTTCGGCAGAGACATTCACATTTGTACGTTATAGTGAGGTTTATGTTATAGCGGGGGTCGTTATAGCGAGGTCTGACCTGTACCGTGAATGGCGATAAACCGTGAAGGACATTTGCACTACCGATAAACTAACGTTACCTGTATGTATGTTTCGCAGCTCTCACCGCGGCACTGAGAAGGGATTCTCCCTTTTTCCCAGCCTGAGCACTTTTTTTACTGCCGGAAAAGTTCTGCTGCCGCAGCAGTATAACTGTTCTGCCGGTAATGTCACGTGATCAAATCACCTTGGAAACTTTCCACTTTCTGTCCCTCCAGGAACTTGCGATTCCGCGGCCGCGTTGTTTTAAGCGATTTGAACAAAAGTCTGTGATATCCGCGATATTTGAAAAATCATCCGCGTTATTGTAGATAACTGTCCTTGATACTTGAAAAGCACCGTGATATTTCGAAAAGCAACCGCGATATTCGAGTCTTTCTTCGATGTTGTTTAGTTCTTCAAGCTCGTCAGTAGTTTACTTGTGAGATCGACACCAGAATGGAGAAGTTTCTGGGCAAATCAGCGGCTGACAAGTCACAAAATAAGGCTCGCGTCGAGTGTTGTACGTACGAGGATGGAGGAAATAGAGAGGTTTCGACCCGCGTGATTTGTGCTCTTACGTGAACGTCAATTTTTTGCGTTGACGCGAGCTCAGAAAGAGCTTTCGCTTCACGTTGCTTGTGAAGCACGTCGTTTCGCTGACGACAGGAGCGAAAACTTCAAAAAGTGAAAAAAGTGATTTGTGGTGAGGCCAAAGTCGCACAAATATTATTTATAGCTAGTTTAGGCAAAATCGACAAAATCGAGTCAATAATCCCAACCTGATAGCAAGGCTAAATTTGCAAAAACTCGCGTTCACGTGGAACGTGAGTTGACCTCATCTCACGTCATGAACGGGAGTTTCGACGCCAAAATTTGCCACACCGACGTGAAATTTCACGGTGTAGTGCAGAACAACGTGAAACGAAACCTCTCTTGCAAGCTCCTGTCAGGCAGTTGAACACAGTCAGCGTAGCACACGTTCTGTTTTGTCATGCATGATTTATGCTGTACGACTTGTACATCGTACACCACTACAGTACAAGTAACAACATCCGCTGCAATTTTACCACAATAATCCCGCAATGATTGCCAATATTTGACAAAATCCGCAATATTCCCCGCAGTTTGTGGCATTTTACCTCGCAAGTTTCTGGAGGGACAGACTTTTTATCGGTACCGGGCGTCGGTAGTCAACGCACGCGCCCTAAGCACCTGCTTTTATACACGACATTCTGTCCCCATTTTCAACATCAATCATGTACTATTTTCTTGTACATTTCCATGGATAACGAGAGTTTTATGCAAAATCTCAGAAGACAGTCAATAGCGCGGAAAAATGAGCGTACGTGGAATCCTGTGGGGACAGGACATTTGTAAGACAAAATTTCAGCAGTGGTTTATTATTGGCATGGGGTTCGGGTCGGTGCCAAAATTTTAATAGCTGCGGAAAATTGGTATTATACAGTAACAAGTTACACAACATTTTTAAAAGCTCCTCACCAGGATCAAGTTCAAAGTCAAAGATGCCCAGTCGTTGATAAGACTTGCTTGCACTGCTCGATTACGAAGGATGGATCCAAGTATCTTTCACAGCCCAATGACTTTCAAATTCATGTCACACTCAACAAGCATCTACCAGTAGATACTGTTAACGCACAAAATTTGTGTTATTAGAATTCAGAGTTGATGTTTGTGTATACCGAATGACTGCTGTGTGATTAGTCATGTACCCAGTTCAAAGAAGCCACTTTTGTTAGCTGCGGACGGCCTATGTATGAAACTGATGTTTCGGACCTACATCATGTCATGCACAACCACTACACAAAGCGGACAGAAAGTGCAGATGCTGAGATTACAATCGCAGAAATAATCGACGACTCACGTCACGAGTCACGTGTAGACATTTACATTACAACACACAGGAGAACACACCTTTCTTTTGATTGAATGTGGTGGCTTTGAAAAAAGCCGGTTTGTTCGGAAGCAGTTGCAGGGATGAGGAAATATATTTAACCGCCGAATCCGTACAGAGTACGTCCCTGGCGCTTCAAAGCGTAGACGACATCCATGGCGGTGACAGTCTTGCGCTTGGCGTGCTCGGTGTAGGTGACAGCATCACGGATGACGTTCTCAAGGAAGACCTTGAGGACACCGCGAGTCTCCTCGTAGATCAATCCGGAGATACGCTTCACACCACCACGACGAGCCAGACGACGAATGGCTGGCTTCGTAATACCCTGGATGTTGTCTCGCAGGATCTTGCGATGGCGCTTGGCGCCTCCCTTTCCGAGTCCTTTTCCTCCCTTGCCGCGTCCAGACATCTTGAATGATTGTTGAATCTACGATTGCTGTACCGTTTGAGATCTGAACGGCAGATTTTATTGCTCCGGCAGGTGACGACCTTGGAGAACACGGCACCATAAGGCGCGAACAAAACGGTTCAAATTTTGGTGCAAGCTCCACTCCAGCCGCGCCTGCATGCGCGCATGCATGGTCAACTAGACTGCATGCTGGATGCGCGTGCGCCATGCGTGTGATCACTGTGATGTGACGTCAAAAGACATGTGACAGGCGCGCTATATGCGCTAGTCTTTTCGCTATCCCGCCGCCGGTAAGTAGCGCGTACGCTGCACGGGTCCAATTTTCTTTTTCTGCCAGCGAGCTGAAACCTTTTTTTTGCCCGGACTCTTCGGGGATCGGTGACGTCAGGGGGAAATGGCGAAGCAGAGATCCTTCCCGAAAATGGAATGAACAAATATAAAACTTTGAAAAAGCTTCGTCGTTTGAAGTTTTGTTCTGACAATAGTAAGAGAATATTGTGAGCTCCACTGCCAATATGCCTGAAGAGGATCAAAGGCGCGCTACTGCGCTGACCACGTATCGTAAAAAGCTAACCGAGCACAAGGAGATATCTGCCAAGCTAAAAAATCTAAGAGAAGCGGAGAAGGAATCCAAAGCAGACTTTGAGAAAAGTGAAGATGATCTGAAGGCAATGCAGAGTGTTGGCCAGATCGTTGGAGAAGTACTACGTCAACTAGGAGAGGACAAATACATTGTGAAAACTAGCAGTGGACCGCGTTACGTTGTAGGATGCAGGACGATGCTTGACAAGTCCAAGTTGAAGCCTGGAACTCGTGTTGCACTGGATATCACAACGTTAACTATCATGCGATACCTGCCCAGAGAAGTAGATCCCCTTGTGTACAAAATGCAAGCCGAGGATCCAGGAGACGTCAGCTACGCCAGTGTAGGTGGCTTGGCCGAGCAGATTCGTGAGCTGCGTGAGGTCATTGAGCTGCCTCTGCTGAACCCTGAGTTGTTCTTACGAGTAGGAATTTCACCGCCAAAGGGCTGTTTGCTGTACGGACCGCCCGGTACTGGGAAAACCCTACTAGCGCGGGCTGTTGCTCGACAGCTGGATGCTAATTTCCTCCGTGTCGTGAGCAGTGCTATCGTAGACAAATACATTGGAGAATCTGCGCGTGTCATTCGTGAAATGTTTGCGTACGCGCGCGACCACCAGCCATGCATCATCTTCATGGACGAGATTGACGCAATCGGAGCGAGAAGAATCAGCGAGGGTTCATCGGCAGACCGAGAAATTCAGCGCACGCTGATGGAGCTGCTGAACCAGATGGACGGCTTCGACAAACTGGGCCAGGTGAAAATGATCATGGCTACGAACCGGCCGGACATTCTCGACCCTGCCCTGCTGCGTCCAGGGCGGTTGGATCGTAAGATTGAAATCAAGCTGCCCAATGAACAAGCGCGCCTGGAAATCCTGAAGATCCATGCCGGGCCCATCACCAAGCACGGTGAAATTGACTACGAAGCGGTTGTCAAGCTCAGTGACGATTTCAACGGTGCCGATCTGCGGAACGTCTGCACCGAGTCTGGCATGTTCGCCATCCGTGACGACCGTAGCTACGTGGTGCACGAGGACTTCATGAAAGCAGTGCGCAAGGTCTCCGAGGCCAAGCGGCTGGAGAGCAAGCTAGACTACAAGCCAGTGTAAATACGGTGTGATCATCGACTACCCAGGTGTGTGTGTGTGTGTACTGTGTACCCACATGCCATATAGAATGACTGCTTTCCGTTGCTTTACCTCCGGCCTCTCACGCTAACGTGCCTCCTTTCACTGTATGTGCTGCTTATTTGCTGATTGTATTGCCTGTTCAAGTTGTATTCTGTTCGAGTTATTTTTCATTCTGCTCTCTGCTATGATTTTTTTAAGTAAGTTTTATATCCATGCCCCCATCATTGCACATAGTAAAGACATTCTTATGACCATATTTCTCTCTTTTCTCTGTTTGTTTTTACATGCAGGCGCAATGTGTACATACAATAGGCTCTCTCATCGTTTTAAGGGGTCGTCCATAAATATCAAACTTTTTTCATAAAACGAAATAATTTCGTTATGGGGTGGGAGGGGGTTGACCAATTTCGTTTCAGAAAACATTGATTCATGGACATGGCCGTTGTATATGCATGTATGTCAACATTTTTTACGTTCTGAGGGGGAGGGAGGGAGGGGTTGGGTCTAAACTAAAATAATTCGTTTGGTGAAAAAAGTTCGATATTTACGGACGACCCCTAATGTATTTCAAAAGTAATTCGAAACGAAAACACTGTTCTACCCGCAAGAGGAGTTGTGTGAAAAGCAGCGCACTTGGTTAACTTGATCATTGCTAAATATTAGACTTATCATGTCAATGTTATCAATTCTCCTTACAATAATAAATCAAAAAATTTGAGCGAGCAAAGAGAACTGTTTGTGTTCCTTCTGTCGATCCCAGTGGCACATTTGCCAAGAAGTGTGTGTTCGTCTATCGTTGAATACGCCGAGTGGCATACCGCCCACGCAGAGGGCGACCCCAGCACAGAACCCAGGCTGGTGTGTTGCGCGGGGCCCAGCATTCGCATAGGGGACCACGTGCCGGTCAGCCATGGGATGGACTTGAAATAGGGTCAGCAAAAAGGGAGGAAGTGCTGATCATTATGAGCATGTACTCTGTACACTAGTATTATCTGGCAGGCTAGCTACTTGAGAAATGGGAGATGCAGGAAGAAGTGAAAATTCCAAAAGAGTGTGTGTGCGTGTCACTGTGTGTGTATGGGGGGGGGGGGGGGGGCAGAGACAACAGCACAATGAACGAAGGCTCAAACACAGCTGCTTCCCTGGCGGTTAGTCTTCGGGCGGAGGTGTTGGTGAGAATGTTGGCGGCGGACCAAGCGGTGGCGGGCCAGGAGGCATTGGTGGAGGCGCACTCGCACCCGGGGGCGGTGGAGGTGCGGGCGGACCTGCCCCACCCGGGGGTGGTGGAGGTCCAGGCGGGCCTCCCATACCCGGGGGCGGTGGAGGAGCCGGAGGACCTCCGGCAGCAGGTGGTGCGGGAGGAGCTGCGGGTGGCGTGGGGGCCGACGGTCCGTCAGTCGTCACCACCCCGGGTTGTGGAGCCTGCGCTGGCCAGTTAGCTACGCTAACAGCTGGCTGAGCACCGATCGTTGGCGGGGAGGGTGTTGTTGGCGACAGAGCAACTCGACGCGGTGGTGTGATCTCGTTGGAGATCATTTGAGGAGATCCCATACTGTGCGAACTGATACGGCGACCTGGGTGCAACAGGAACACATCAACATTGCAAAGAAACAGCCATGAGAGAGGGTGCTGCTACTGGGCAATTACAGAGGATGGGTGAACTGTGCACTATAATATTACTGCACACCAAAACACTGCCCAGGTATCAACAACGCCACAGAATTCAGAAAATAGAATCATTTCGATTTTTCCCCAGATGGCAACGGCTAGGAAAGTTGGTTGTTAGTTTCGTACTGTTTTCCTAGATGGTAAGAAGAATTATTGCGTGCTCACTATGACAATTGACAAGTGTGTCATCCCAAAAAAACAAAAAAAGGGAATATCAAATTCAAACAAACGGCAATCATTAGGAGACGCTGAATCGACATTTTTATACTGCATGGATAAGTATACACAAATGTCGATTCAGCTTGTCTTGCATGATTGTGGTTATGAAAAATATCAGATTCAGTAGGGAATATTTGGAATAATGTCATGTATTCCAAGCCGGATGGAGCGCAGAGTGCAACTTGCCTAGTTGCCGAGTGCTAGACGTCTGCAGGCTGCTTTCGGAGTCGCCGCTGTCGGAGCGATTGCTCTGCGAGTCACTGTTTGGCACGTGCACACCTCCCGCCTGCGCTGCCTTGGCACGCTGTATGAGTGCGTGCTGTTGACTGGCCGGCTGGAACGCTGACAGACCCTGACCAACGGCTGTGCACAATAGAGCACGTACAGCAGCGAAAATGACCAACTCGTACACACGTGCATAGCACTGTATATTGCAGCTCTAAACCCTCGTCTAACATATCTTTTCAGGCAAATGAGTGATGCATGCCTAATTCGTCACAACAAAAGCTTTTCGTGAGGCGCAGATGCCGACTCGTGATAAGATTGGTTCCAAAACTCAGATTTCTCACACATCAACATCAGTGACTGGAAAGCAATATAAAAATACCCCTTTCTCCAATTTTGAAAGTTGAACAGTCATAACAAAACAAAAAAAGAGTACTTTTTCGCAGTGAACAGGATTCGAACCTGTGCGGGCAGAGCCCAATTGATTTCTAGTCAATCGCCTTAACCACTCGGCCACCACTGCTGCTGATGTGGCTACCTTGCATGTCTTAGCTGTATTACACTGCGATGGCGGCCAGAGAGGTTGAACGTTCGTGCTTCGGGAGAGGCTGGGTGGGCCATTGGTGGCTCGCAAGACTCATAAAATGACCACGATCATTCCTAGCTCAGTTTTCAAGGGCCACGGGCGCAGGCCCTTACAGGTATGTTTGAATAGTCAAACGTGTCTTCCTCTGACAAATTTTCTATACCAGTCAATTTGTCACAGTGTGTGGATAATTTCCACATACCCGGGTACTGCTGACCGTGTACTTTGCTGCTCGAGCCAGCATACACTGCACATGCGCACACGCATGCAACGTTTATATCTTTTGTACGGTCAAGAACAGGTACTGCACACGAACTGCTGCCTGCCAGTATCCCATCGTTGATCATGGCATACAAGACCCAGTCACTGTGATTGTTTGCTGCTGCTGCTGAGTTGTTCGCCACTCTACAGACATGGCTAATAGGGCTTGAAAGTGATGGCGTCAGAAGTCAAAATCTAATGACAAATAACGACCTTTAGATCCACTTGACCGATTCCAGGTTTTTGTATGGGTCCATAAACGTTTGGGTGGTATTCCTTCGCAGCATAGTGACACATCCACAGGTAGGTGTGGGTCCACGACCGGGAGGGCATAGAACAATCACTACCGGTGGATGTGTCACTATGCTGCGAAGGAAAACCACCCAAACGTGTATGGACCCATACAAAAACTGGACCCAAGTGGATCCAAAGGTCGATTTTGACTTCTGACGTCATCACTTTCAAGCCCTATACAGCCGTGTAGCTAGCTCTTACCCATTGGTGAGTTTGTGCCATAGCCTTGCATAAGGGGACCGCTGCCGGACGCAGCCAGCATTGGAGAACCACTGTCCAGGCCTTGTCCAGCTACACCGGCTAGCTGCAGAGAGCTCGGGGGCATGATCATGCCACCAGGAACCTGAGACAGGAACATTTCAGAAGAAGAAAGTGTGAATTAGCTTGGAATCATAGAACGGCAGCACACCGCTCCACCTGGAATTGCAAAGCCTGTCTCAAGGGAGGAGGGGGTGGGGGTGGTAGAGCTGGCCCATGCATTATGCACCCTGTTTAATTAGTTAAAAGGATTGGGGGAAGGACGGAGTGAGGAGCGGGAACCCCGATCCGGTGATACAGGCCGCATTTAGACCAAATTCTATAGCGTCCTGTATTCCTTGAGTCTCTCAACGGGCTCACATGTTTCATCAGAAAACCAGCATCCATTATCGATGAAGAACCAGGACCCGGCAGAACTTGAAGTGCTTTACTTGTCCACACCGTGATCATGGGACATTGAACAACTATAACAGTGATGTGAATTTGTAATGTGCTACCAAGCACCGCTCACAAACATCATAAACACTACGGCACAAGCTGACCTGTCCACCTGCGGCTGCAGACTGCTGAGCAGCGGAGAGCAGAGCCTGCCGTACAATGGCCTGCTGTTGCTGCTGCTGACGAATGGCCTGCAGCTGCTGCTGTTGTTGCTGTTGCTGCTGCTGCTGCTGCTGTGTTGCGGCCAACAGTCCGGCGGCAGTCATCGGAACACCACCTGGAACGCCTCCGGGAACACCACCTGGAACACCTGGTACACCACCGATGCCCATCCCAGCTGCTTGTGCCATCCCCGCTGGCAGGCCACCGCCAAGTACATTCCCTGTAGCTAGTTGCTGCTGACGAAGCTGCAACACAGACAACAAGAACATCTAGTCAACTTGGCCATTGAATAGATTAATGCACTCGCTCCTGCATCCAGCATTAAGATGGCAAGGAAACTATGGGTCGAAATTTGCACAACTGTTATACGTAGGGCCGTGAATGTATATAACAAAATCAGTACCATTGGTGCTTTCAAAGATCACCGCCATGTATCGTTCCAAGGTGCTGGAATGGAATACTGTAAACCCAGAAACCCGTTGCGATCCTGGAACGCTCGTGATTTTCGCGATGGGTGTGAAATTGCGAAACTGAATACTTGAGTCAATCATCAAAAAAATTGACTCCCATCGCAAACGTTTGCAGGCGCAAAATGGTCTAGCTGTCATTGCAATTCGCAAACTAAAACAGACGCAAATGATTCTGGCTTTACAGACAATGGCAATATTTCAGCTCTAATCTGTTCGTGTGGAGTACTATCTCCACTCTTCCCACCCAAAATACCTTCCCCATGATTACATAACGATAGCCGAACATCTCACCCGTAGTGCTGCCTGAGCCTGGAGCTCCTGCTGTTCTTTCTTCTTGCGCTGTGCCTCGTGCACTGCCATTACAATCTGGGCAGTCTCGTTGATCTTCTGCTGCTGCTCTTGCTGCTCTTGAATGGCGGCCAGCTGCTGAAGCTGCTGAAGGGTCTGAGGAAGGACGTGACATCACAAAACAATACACACCGTGTTTAGAAACTCGATTTTCGAAATTGTCCCATTCAGGTTTTGGACTTGAAACTCTGTGCATTGAGTCCTGCAAAACCTATCCTGATCGTGCAAAACCTGTCCAATCAGCAAATTTCTTTCTATTTTAGCATGTCTTGTACTCTGGTAAGATTGAGTCTCGAGGCTTCACAGCAACACTAAAATGAAAAATACCCGTCCTGTGCTAATCATGACAGGCCGGCTGGGTGTAGCTCAGTGGCCCGGTGGGCCAGCAGGCTCACTTTACCGGCACTGAGTGCTTGGCTATCGCAATGATGATGTATGTCACTGCCAAGCAAGGCTGCCGGTACTTGTGACTGCCTTCAAGTATACAAAGATGTACATGTAGTACACACTGAATGAAATACACAATGCGGAATGAAACCATGAATGAATGCATGGTTGGGTTAGAGGGTCAGACCAGTTCAAAAACTGCCGTTATCGTCCGTCCAACCTGTAATGCACCCAGCCTCGGAGTCAACGGAGAAATCCATTTGCATGTTGTGATGCACACAGTATGGATCTTGTCCGGCATGTCCATTTAAATTTTCTGTGATCGATTGTGGAAAAAACCTAAAGGGTTATTCAACGGAGAAATCCATTTGCATGTTGTGATGCACACAGTATGGATCTTGTCATGTCCATTTCTGTGATCAATTGTGGAAAAAACCTAAAGGGGTTCAGGTGAACGATACGCGTCGCTATAATTATTATGTTGCTGGGTGGGATAGTGTGGGGGAGGGGGGGGGGGGGGGCGATGCCCCACAGTACCTGCTGTGTTCGGACTGCTTCAGCCTGTAATGCTGCTTCCTGCTGACTTAGCTGCTGTGTGACGTGTTGCTGCTGGGTCTTGACTGCCTTCAGCTGTGCCTGGAGTTTCTGTGCCTGCTGCATGTGCTGCTGCAGCTGTAGCTTCGTCTGAGAACACACGGCCGCATCAACCCACGCGCATGCACACACACATACACACACAAACACACATACACACACACACACACACACACAGGTAACAAGTGCTGTAATATACAAAGGAAACCACATTAGCCAGTGCCAATTACAAACCCATAAAAGTTGATGATACAGTGTGCATTCTGACAAAAAGAATGTAGTTGAAAAAGGTCAGCGTAAAAACGGTCTGGATGGGGCGCTAACGTGTGCTGCTTTAGCTAAGACGACACTGGTAACGGTATGATTGAGTCGAGTGCCGATTCACACTATAGAGTTTCTCTGCCGCCATCAATAGCTTCAATAGGATCACACCCGGCTAGGGTGTGCATGAAGGCTGCCACAGCATCACAGCATCTGCCACACATCACCAGGGGCATAGCTGGTCACCCTTTTAGGGGGGGGGGGGGGGTGCACGGCCGCATATGTGTAGGATGGTAGGTGCATGTCATTCATGGTCAATATGTGCATGCTAAACTTAGGTCGAAATTTTAGGGGGGGGGGGGGTGCATGTGCCCCATGTAGGCTATGTGTCTGATCACTGATGCCCACTGACACTCACCTGTTGTTTCTGCATTTCACTCATTTGCGGACCGGCGGCGTTGTGCGAAGCGGAAATGGCGTTGACTTGGTGCGCTGCACCAAAACCCGCCTGGCCTGCTCCGGTCCCGATTTGCAAGCCACCGGCTCCCATGGACGAATTGAGCATGCCTGCCGGCCAGATCAAGGTGAAAAACAGTAGCAGAACACACTTGCCGGTATGATAATATGCCTGTTCGTTAGGTTCATGGGTCCCCAATCATGGAGCCTAAGAACGTCAGGAATGCCAAGCGGCAAAATATGATGACCCCCACAGCTAAGCCTTTCATACAGTTTGTGCATGATATAGAGGGTCTACACATGGCTTACGCAATTGTATAGCCGGTGGTAACGCGGACGTGCAAGCTTTACTTTTTTTTACACATGGCTTCTCAACAGTAAACGCCCGTTGGTGGGCAAAAGGTTGGTCCGGCCATGCCAGCCTGACCCGCAACCAGACCGGTTCCGCAGGGCCTGATACAAAACGTGTGCAGACACTTACTCAGAACGTATGAGAAGATGACCGCATCATGACCTAAGGCTAAGTGATAATGATCCAGCACGAGGTTGGGCAATTGGCACTCTTTTGCTCCTTAAATGTGTTTGTGTACTTGTCAACTTTTGGCCCGGGATTCACTTAGACCTGAGTGTGCATCGCGTCGACCATTGTCTGGGCTGGGAGCAGGGGAAGAAAGTCCAATACAACAGATGCACTCCTTAAATTATCCTTATGTTTGCAACCCTGCAGATTGGCAGCCTACCTCAGTACATAGCAATGTCATGAGATGACAGAATCCAAATCTCACCTGGATTGTTTGCATGAAGGCCGTCCACCCCTCCAAGACCGTTCAACAGGTGTGGGGAAGAGAAGCTCGAGTCCAGACTACTCGCCGTAAATGAGTTGCTTCCAAAGCTGGAGTTTGGTGACACCGCTGAGGCACCGGCCGCTTCCAGGTTCATGGCAGCCAAGGTAGCAGCGAGCGCTGGGTCCATACCTGTGGGACAAGCAGCCAGTATTTGGTCAGTGTTAGCGGCCACTTTGAAGCTTCAGGCTATTCTCCAAGTGCATAATTATTGTGTATTTTTGGGTGAATTTACCCGTCCTCCCTATCCAAACAAATGCAAAGATATGAGAATGTTTAAAGTCCCCCCACCCCCACCCGCTCCATTCCTCTCCCAATATCGCACCACAATGAAGCAGTTAGCAGTTTCCCGAGTACCATGCACTGAAACGGACACGCAAATGTAACTGCCATTCACGCCTGATACTATTATTTTAGGCTTCATTTGTGTGCCTGCCATACCACCTTATCATATCGGTCAGCCATACAAAACTGACACAAGGACTGCATTGCAGGTAAATGACACTCTCCAGACCGACTTACCTCCCGTGAGGGGCTGAACCCCGGCAGTAGTGGTTGGCAGTCCGGCTGCCACCAAACCAGCAGCAATGGAAGGATCCATGTCAGGTCGAGCGTGTCAGCTGCTCAGCGCAACCGTGGCGATAAGGAATTGGTGTGGTGAGGTGAGCTTGTTGTAAACCCCAAGTAAGGCCACTCAATGAGGGTTGTGTCGGTTCACCCCACAGCACTGGCCTAGAAGACAAGCAACACGACATGGAATGGATAGAAAGGAGTATGTTGATCAAGGGATGGATGAGGGATGCTAACTGGTGTTGAAATCACCAGCGAACAGAACATACACGACCATGACTGCGCTGAGAACGTTTTCCAGCGTTCCCAAACTTGCTGCTTTTGGCTTGGTGTAAAATTCGGTGACGCTTGACCCCACAACCCCTGTGAGAGACATGGGCAATACAGGCATGTAGCACTGCCCTTGGAGGTGGTCGGGCCGGAGGGGGGGGGAGGGTCCCCCGGGAAAAATTTGAAATTTAGGGAGCAAAATCCTGCATTCTGGGCACTTTTGGCAAGTGGTCCGGCCAAAGCCAAAGCCGGACCGGCTACTACGCGCTGTAATAACATTGCGACCCATACCAAGAGTACATACATGTAAACCAGAGTGTGCAACTGTGCATATCAGATCTGAAACAGCGCAGTTCGTGCACTACGTCACCGTGTTTCATAGCCCGGAAATCAGCCAAGTTTGCTTGATTTTACACGTCATGTTTCAGGATTTCAGTGTTTTTTATGGGACTGTGTACGCTGCGTACATCCACCGACAAGTAAATTCACCAGGCTAACCATATCAAAAAACCGAAATGAGGACAAACTCAGTGACCTGCACCACCGTGACTGGTTACCCAACTTTTCGCCGTACCTGTGGCTTACCATGCCGTCAGAAATCACGTACTGCACGAATTACGCTCCCACAGGAACCATCCTGAGTTGCACACTCTGGTTTATGTACTCTTGCCCATACTAAATTGCCGTAGGGACAGGATGTGTAAGAAGCTGATCCGAGGCTTGTCTCACCGACCTCAACAAAGTCAGGACGGCCCTCACCTCTGACCGGCCATTACTGTGTTTTCCTCTCCCGGACCCCTACCCCTCCTCTATCCCATCACAGCCAATAGATCAATCCGAATAGGGCAATACTAGTAGATACGATCTTCCCGGTGACCATGGGTAATCAAACAAACAGCTCCACGGTTTGGAATGAAAGTCACAGCTACCAGGGAACTTCAGTTTACTTGGATAGAACATTCTTTTTGATCTTGGATACACTTAGAGTACCCGTCAGCTGCTATCAAGTACAGATTGCTATGTCCCTAGGAGGTAAATGTACATGTACATGACATGTATGTTACACTGAAGTTTCGCAGTCAGGTAGGCCATTCTGTCCATCAGCGTGCTATACAGCTGCATGTAGGACCTGTTACTCAGTGTTAGTCATGATACAGGACAACTTACTTCACAACACAACGACTGACATGAAAAAGAGCAGTGCCTCCCATGCAGGGTAGGTCACCACCCTGGCTTGACTCACGCCCACGTTTGTCCACCTGCCTACTATCAACGGAGAAGGTTATGCTAGGGTTGAGACAGCGGGAAGTGTAAACACGGCCACGCAGCTTGTGGCATCAGCGTACAATGACATGCACACACAACCTCTCTCAGCTCTCAGTGGTCACAGAACCTGTTACTGTGTTAGATAGCTGCTACAGCATGTACCCAATCACCTAGGAGATCCACAAGGGCATGGATCACGAAAGCATAGGATTCCCAAGGAAAACTCAAGCTCGTCAAACTATCAGTGAACGCGTTCAACACGGAAAGCGAGACAACGGATGCAGCGCAGACTGATCCATTCTTTTTGCGTCGCCACTCCGTTGTTTACTGTCTGTCCCAGCCCCGATATACGAGTGTTGACTGCTCGCACACCGGTTATGACAAGTCACCGTGCCACCTAGCTATCCCTCAGCTTGTCAATGTGTTCCGTTCACAAGTATGTATCACCTGGGCACCGCCTGCAGCAGCAATGCCGTCCTGTACATATCCACTGGCAGCCCAGCTCTATTTTCCGAGGAACATGCTCGCCACGAGCGAGCGACACCCGTCCGCAGTTCCATACTTCACCCGAATGATTCTGTTTAGAACCGTGCACCGGGATCTGCGTGTTTCAATGTGAATGGCCGCCGAACAGAAATGGCCGGAGTCAACAATCACAAAATGTATGCACCACTCATCGCGTTTCCTCGCTACATCCGCAGTGCCTTTCTTCCGACGGAAATAATGCTTCGTTTGAGGAATTGCGCAATAACTATTTTTCATACATCACCTCCACCATATGCATATTTCCCTGCGTCCCAAACATTCGACACGCATGGACCCGTCCTTACCGGAGTTCGGAGTGTTAGGGCCGGGTCGGCTCGAAGCGGCTTGCCCGACGGCCGCTACCACCTTGCCAGGGCTGCTCCTCAGTTGATAAGCATTCTGGCCTTCCTCTCTGTCCAGCGCGAGCAGCTTCAAAGGATCCGAAGCGGCGTCCGTCCCTTGCACTTGCTCTACTATCGTCCGTGGAAGCAATGGAGAGACGTCGAGTGCTGAAACAAACGCTACGGATGTTAGGTGCGCACGGACTTGACTCCGCAAGCTAGGCTATCGTCTGTAGTCCGCTGTTGCCATGACCGGCGACCAGTCACCAGGTCACTGAGTCAGTCAGCAGATTGGGCAGATCTGACGGGGCTTGCGCAAAATTTCCCTTGATTCCATCATCGCGCAGATCATCACAATCCAGATTCGCGTCAAAGAGCCTAGAGCCGCAGACCTGTCGACACTCGGTGCAGACCCGTGGACCGTGGCTTCACTTCAGTCTTCAGTCAAAGTTCAGAAGAAGGCTGTCGACATCGCAGGACTTGTGCTGAGCAGCTAGATCCATTTTATTCTGTCAGTGTCATCCTCTTCGCAGATATAATATCAACTCAACGCATGTCGACCGCAGAGCGCGTGCAGGGCGCATGAGCGAAGTCCCAACAAGACTACCTGTCCTATGATTTGGGCTTCGCACGTGATTTCCATGCATGTCCCTGGCCTCGGATCGGAGTCATCTGTGTCCCGGCCTATCCATCCCGGCTCAGTGCACACAATTGTGATGTCCCTGGGCCATGGGCATGGGTCTGCATCTGGGGTCTGCAGGGCCGGGGCATGGGGAAGCACTCACGTTCCATCGCTTGACCAGCTTGGCTTGCCAACCACCGTGGCACAGTCTCGGACAGAGGTTCTCGCCGGTGAACACGATAAAACTTCAGTCCTCTGCGCTAACAGGATAGTCCTGAAACGAAGCAAAGTTCCGGTCCATCAAACGTTCATCAAGCGTCGTTTACACCGAGTGCATAGGGAAACCTGAGCCCGGGCGTCTTGCAGAGACTTTGAGCTCCCGGACTTACTGAGGCGCTTTATGCTGGAGGCAAATTCACGGTAGGAATAGGATGTACAGTATCCAGCTAGTGAAATGCGCTAGGAATGCTCGAGTACCGCAAAGGCAGAGAGCTCTCGAGTGTAGACCACAGTACAATGTTACATTGTAACATTGGACACCAGTGGAACCTGGTTGAACTTATAGCGAGTCCCACCAACGTGTGAGCAGAAGTTTCCTCACTGCCTAATTTCAGCGCCATACTACACACTATGAAGTATCAACCCAGCAGCCTCCGAAGCATAGCACTACACCCCTGGCCCAGAACCACAAACACGGTTACACCTCAACACCACCTCCGGCTCAGCTCCTTCTTGCCTTGCATCCCTGTGTTACCTGATGATTGCACCCCGGAGTATGCAACGACCTAGCCTAGTCTTGTTCCGCGGTGTACTGCATACATGATGGAGGCAACATCAAGGTTTATCAAAACTATTGGCCCTGCCCTGCCCTGCCCTGCCCTGCCCTGCCCTGCCCTGCCCTGCCCTGCGGCTGGGCCATAGACATACAATGTAGGTCATACTTGTATTCATGTACGTGTACCAGCTATTTGACCGATACATGTACAATTCATGTATATATGTAACGGTATGTGTGCAGGACAACCAGTTCTGAGCATGTTGCAAGCCAGTTGAGAATTCGCACGAAGGAGAGCACCAGAGCGGTTGCCGTTTGACACTCAGTCAGACTCAGACAGAAACATCGCCTTTATCTATGCGCGGACTAGACTGTACTATGTATTTATTGTAAGTCTTGTAGGACGTCACAACAGGAATCGATGAATCAATGCTGCATGATGAAACTGCATCATGAGATCGCGTACAGACTTGGTGAAGGGGCGGAGCTTACATGGCGATTCGCTCCGTACCGTGTCAGTCCCCCATCTGCTGTCTCCTGACGGTTGTCTACTTCATGTACCAGCCCAGGGCAGGGCGATCATCCGATTCCCTCTTGCCGGGCAACAGAAAACCTAACATTGTTCACTCACCTACTACTATCCACTGTTCCAAGTAGATTAGTATATTTACCATTTCCCTGCAATACTGATTTCCAGTTGTTGTAGTTGTCGTTACCGTTCAGCTGCCAATATGAAGTGGTTGTTGTCGTGCACGCTGGTAGCGATCGTTGCTGCAGCTACCTTTCAATGGGCAGGAGCCAAGGTCCATGGTGATAGGACAGTCAAGGTAAGTTAGTGCAAGTTGAAGCTGTTGGTGATCACTTTCTTACGGCTGTACGGAGGCCTTGAATTTGAACCAATAGTACTGCTAGTACTTGTCTTTGAAGTACAGTAGTACATGTATGGTAGTGGCTGAAAGTTCTGTCTCAATATTTTATTGCGAAGTTTTAGGCTTTTTAATAGTACAAGTCATGTAACAATCATACTTTATTAGGCAGTGTACACTGAGACTACAGTATGCTGTCTTTAGCTAATAGTAATACTAATAGGCCATAGCGCAGAGTGCGAGGTGTCACCACTACATGTACTGAGGACTGAGGTGTGGCTGAACACTCAGGTCACTCAACTCACGCAAGACTAGTCGACTGTGGGCAGTATGAAAAAATTGTTTGGAAATGGAAGTGTCAGTGTTGGTTACATAGTGAGTAATAGTGTACAGGCAAGACAATGCCGCGTGACCAAACAAGGCAGTGAGATACATGTAACTGTTAGTACTCAACAGTATCTGCGATTGTCACTAGTGAATCATCAGTGGTGGGAGTGGTGGATCTAGTACAATGTACTACCCCAGCCATCATGATGTGTGTGTGTGTGTGTGTGTGTGTGTGTGTGTGTGTGTGTGTGTGTGTGTGTGTGTGTGTGGCTGTGAATGTAACAATCTACATGTACCGTGACATTGTTCTGTCCCTCCAGGAAATCGCGATTCCACGGATGCAACAAATTTCGCGATTTTGGCCCAAACCCGCGATTTTCAGCAAAATCCGCGATTTCCCGCGTTTTTTGTTGTTTTCTGCACTATATCTCACATGTTTCATGCACTTTTCACACAGTGCTTTCCATGATCCTGTAGGTTATTTGCACAGTATGACTTGTACCAACAGTGCATAAACACTCTTGCTTGTACTACTCCGGAGTTGATATACGATGCAACAAATTTCGTGATTTGGCCCAAATCCGCAATTTTCTGCAAATAATTCCGCGAATTCCTGGCAAGTTCTGCATCATTCCGCGCTTTTCGTCGCATTTTTTGTTGTTTTCTGCCGCAATTTCTTGCGCAAGTTTTCGAGAGTTTTTTCCGCAAATTCCCGCAGGGACAGATTGTTGATACTACAGTAAAACCTGGTGTAAGCGACCTCTCGTTTTAGCGACCACCCGCTCTTAACGACCATTTTTCCATGCACGGACAGGTCTACACAGACACTGTGGGACCTGGTTCTAAAGACCACCTGGTTTTAACGACCGTTTTTCCTTGCTCCGTGGGGTGGTCGCTTAAACCAGGTTTTACTGTACATCATGTCACATAAGAAGTGTACTTCACGTTACCTGCAGCAACGCCCCACGCCCAACACCCTAATCCTCCAGGCACACAATGATACAAAGCATTGTGATCATGTCATTCGCATAATCCCACTCCATGCAAAGTACACAATGATGTGATCCCAGCTACGGCTTCATCATTGGGAAATTGTGGGAATGGACTACAGAGCTTGATCATGCAAACCTAGTGCTACTGGGAGCTGTGCGAGTGTGGGTTGTGGAACTGTAGTCAAGACAGCGCGAAGACTCGTGACTTGAAGATATACTATACGATATATTCATATCGCGTCGTTGCGAAAAATCCAATCCATGTTCTCATTGTACACAATCTCTTACATAAGGTTGATCGATGATCAGTATAGCTCAACAAGTTCCGAAATCACCTGCATTGAAACCTTGCATATTTGATCATACGCACAGTAAGAATGACTGGTCCCTTCTTCTTAGGCTGACCATAAATATCATAACTTCAAAACTCGCCAATAAAATAATATATGATGCATGCTGCTGGCCACATACACACACACACACACACACACACACACATACACACACACACACATACACACACACACACATACACGCGTACACACACACATACACACACACATGTATGCACAAACACACACACATACACACACACACAAACACACATACACACACATATACACACACACACACATACACGCACATGCACACACACACACACACACACACACACACACACACACACACACACATGTATGCACAAACACACACACACACACACACACACACACACACACACACAGGTATGCACAAACACACACACACACACACACACACACACACACACACACATACACACACACACACACACACACACCGTGCACACACCAATACCCACACCACCTCAAGTCACCAGAGTTTCCCTGCCAGCACCTTGCCTTTCGACTCGAATGATACGACGAGACAACATGTGCAAACGCACGTCCCAAACACATGCCTTATCAGCACCAGTGAAGCAGTTGCTTATTGAGCTGCTCGACAACTGCTCCGAACCGAGGTCTCTGATTGGGGTCTCCATGCCAACACTGACGCATGAGTGCAGCATACTCGGGCGGCATGTCGGTAGGTACCGACGGTCTCTGGCCGTTCAGCACAGCGTCCTGTACCATGTGCATGAACCGGTACTCGGCGAACGGACTATTGCGTTCGTACGCCTCCCACAACACCAAGCCAAAACTGTGCAGAGAGGTAGGAACGAGCAAACCGGAGACACAATAAATGAAGATCGATTACAAGTAGTACATAGGTTGGCAGGGCATGAGCTCAATGGGTGGTGGGTCACGTGGCAATGTCCCAATGTAGTCAATCATGTGCTAGCAATCGCATGCTTGGAAGCAAGACACCGTGCTTGGCTTACAGTTTTTTAACCATGCATTCCGTCATAGCCATCCATGATGTTGTCAGATCACCACATGCACATTGAAGTTGTGTTGCAAACAGCTATGCATCACAACTTCTACTCTACTAGTATGTGTGAGAAACCAAAACGTCAGGGTGCCAGTTTCGGACAAACGGACCGTGTAAGTACATACTAATATTGAGCATAGCAGCCTCAGCGGAGGACGTTCAGGTTGGTTGTAACTGCGGCATGAAACTCAGAGCTACAACCAACCTGAACGTCCTCCGCTGAGGCTGCTGTATTCTAAGCTCCGTCCATGACATGGACTGAGCACTCTCTGCAGCTCGGGGATCAATCGGGATTTGCTACGAATACTGGCCAGTATAGATGTTAGAGGACATTGCCTGAGCACTCTCTGCAGTTCGGGGATCAATCGGGATTTGCTACGAATACTGGCCTATATATAGAAGTGCATGTTATGAAGTGCATGTATGTACATACTAATACATTCACTGACCTATAGATGTCAGAGCTGGTCCCGTACGGCAATTGTCGCATCATCTCCGGTGACTGGTATTGCAACGTGCCGATGCTGAACGTCACGTCGCTGTTCGGATTCATCAGCAGAGGCGCCTGACAATTGGTCCCCGCTGCTGCCGTCGTCCAGCTCAGCGGCTGCTCCGTGAGTTCTCGGCGCTGGAGAGACAAGAAGCGTCTGTTGCGATGATCCAGACACGATATGAGCCGCGCCGTGCCAAAGTCGGCCACCTTGACGACGAACCGCTCCGTGACCAGCAGATTGGAGGCCTTCAGATCGCGGTGTACAATGGCCGGATCGCAGTCGTGTAGGTATGCCATGCCACGCGCCGCGTCCAGCATGAAGCGAAGCCGATCGTCGTGCCTGACGACCGCCGACTTGTCGGCGAGCAGCGACTTGAGAGATCCGCGCTTGGCGTACTGCATGACAATGAATGGCTCTCCCGACGGATCTGTTCCCGCGCCCAGGAAGAGTACCAGGTTGGGATGACGATGCATGCGCATGAGTTCCGCCTCGCGCTGGAACTCGCGCAGAGACGACTCGTCGTTCAGGCAGTGCTCCTGCAGCTTCTTCACCACCACGTCGATGTCATTGAGCTCAGCCAGCCAGACCTGGCCGAAGCCTCCACGAGCTATCAAGTGACGCATGCGCAGCTCACTCCAGCTAACTCGCCAAGCGTTCACCAGCTTGGACACGCGTTTCTGGGAGGCACGCAGCTCGCGGCTCAGCCGATGGGCGGCTTGCTTGCGTTTCGTGTAGCGGACTCCGAACCCCAGAAGAACTAGACCGGCTACCACCAACCCAATCACCATGGTTATGACGATGTACGGCGCTTCGCAATTGTCACTGGCTGCGTATCCGAACGAGCAAGTGCAAACTGGCTGATTGTTAACGACACTACACCGGCCGTGGTTGTTGCAGAATGCCGGCGTGCACGGTGTGCACTGGACGGCGGACGTACTCGATGGCTCGGCTGTGACCAGCCCCGCCTGACACTGAACGCAGGCGCGTCCATCGCTGTTGTACGTGCCCGCGGGACATGCGTCGCACATGCCCGTGATCTGATTGTACTGCTGGCCGGCAAGACACACATCGCCGGCGAGAAACTGGATAGGTGGACGACCATCGAGCGCCCCTATGTTTGAGCTAGCTGCCAGCACAACGTGTCCACCACTGGCTGGTACAACGTTAAGACCACCAATGAACTCGTGCCGAAAGAATGCTGACACCGTGTCGATGATCATCTTGCCGTCCGCTGCGGTGCTGTACCGTAGTAGGTGCGCCGTCCGACTCTCTTCGTACCCGCGTGCCCAGCCGCCGTAGAGAAGCAGGGAGTTGGCGGTGTACGGAATCAGCGCGTGGCCCATGCGTCCCTCTGATACTCCCGTCGGCACAGGAACGGCATGCAGCCGATACGTCAGAGAGGATGCATGAATGGACAGTTGTAGGAGACTGGCGAGAGGCTCTAAAGATGTACGAGCACCACTAAAACCACCGTAGAGGAGGGCATTGCCATCTAACACGGTAACACTTGCTGCGGCAATGCGTGGCATTGATATGCCAGTAGATGCAGCGGTCATCTTATACCAAACTCCACTGCAAGCAGGGCTGCTTGAGCTGCCTCGGAGGCCAAACATCCAGACATCGTCCGCTGTCCTTCCCTGCTCGGAAACAATGCCACCTGCGACGACAAACGCCGATGCATTCACGGCAAATCCCATGTGTGCAAAGCGCGGCGTGGGACCTGATGATGCTGCCTTGCCGTCCTCCGTAACCACGGCAACATTGTGCCAGGAGTGCGTGGAAACATGATAGCAGTACAGTGACGAGGATAACTTTGTTTTAGTTTGCGCAGAGAGAGCCGTGACTCCGCCGTGAGCAACTGCTGAGCATTCGCACGCGCCATTGCCTGTAACCTCGTCATTGCCTGTAGCCTCGCCATTCCCTGGAGCCGCACCATTAATGCCCTGCAGGGAAACAAAAAGCATGCCTTGCAGTAGCACCGTACTGTTAGCTGGCCCAAACTCGGAGGAGAGTATGCGACGGGTGTACTGTATCTGGCTCCTGCCAGCGCCGGAGTTGAGTATTCCGTCGGCTATGTCCAACTGCAGTTCAGTGGCAAGTGTTGGCAGGCCCTGGATCTGATACCAGCCTTTGCCACCAAACAACACTGCATTGCCGTTCGAATCGAGAAGCGGGCCGAGAAACGGAGGCTGTGCCGCGACAAGGCGAGGCAAATCCAGAGTCGGTGCAGAGAATTCCGTGTAGGTAAACTGAGCCTGGGCGGCGAGAAAACTGGCCGTACCCAACTGAGCCTGGCTGGTCACACTGGCTAGGGGTTGGGTCTTCTCAACAACATGGAGGCCAGCGTATGGCTCTTCATCACTAACTATGTACACGTCCTCTTCTGCCGCCACCGCCTTAGAAGTATTGAACTTTGCAGTGTTGCCCTTGCTCATTGGCAGCTCAACCCAGTAGGGCGACGACTCCTTGCTAAACTTGCACGTGAGGATTCGAGTTCCGGCGAGCGGCTCCCGTATCTTGAACTCGTTACGGACAAGCACCATGAGCAAACTGTTCGCGTCCAGGAATGCGGATGAGACCTGCGCCCGATCCATGCACACCATTTCCAGTGATGCACCCGCGCTACGGACATGACTCCAGCTCCGTGAACGTGCAGTCAGGTTCACAGCCCAGAGTTGACAGTTGCTGGCGTTAGGAGACTGACCGCTGCCATTCGTGTAACGTGAAAATAAGAAAACTTGATTATCGTGAACGAACAAGTCGACGCCGTTAAGCACATTGGCTAATGCTCCGATGTCGTCGTGCGTCACAATGTGACTCCAGTGTGCCACCACCGCCGCACTAGAGTTGTTGGTGAAGTCTAGACGCCACAGCTCTGTGACAGTTTTGGTCGACCCACCGGTCCCGGTCAGGGTACGGGCGGACAAGCCGACTACAGTGTAGCCTACTTGGTCATAGTCCACACCCGGGTATGTTCTGGTTGCCGTGCTGCTGGCCAATAACAGCGAAGGACCCTGCCGCGTGGCTCTGCCGGTGACGCGAACGTACCGCAGCACGTTGTTTCGCCACACGTACACTGCATCCTCGTTGCCCGTGTCCCTCTCTGCCAAGCCGAGGAAAACCACGTCTGAGCCGGGTTGCTCGCCAGCCGCCGGTGTCGGGTTCCTGGTCTCCATGGTCACGCTAGGAGTAGCAACAGCCATTGGTGGTCTCAAGGATGCAGGCAGCGTACACGGTACATCCACCTGATCGCAGTGTACTGTGGGCAATGTCAGCCACGTCGACACACCCCACTCAGGTGTCGAAGTACGCAGCGGAAATACGGACACGCTGAGAGCTGTGAAGATCGGCACCGCTCCTACTGCCGACACTTGCGCTCTAACCGACGGCACAACTACCGCACTGACGTCCGCTAGGTTTTCACCAGGCAGGGTCAGTCTGACGGTGTGGGATGGCATAAGATCCAACACTGCTCGTTGCGTAACGACTCTCTCGGGACTTTCGTACTTCAAGTAGGCGTGTGTTATCTCCATCGAACTCATCATCGCTCCCCGCACACTCAGCGTGACCGGCTGGGCAGCTTCCTGCGATATCATTCGACTGCCGTCTATCACACAGTCACTCCACTTTTTCACAGCATGTCCTGTAGCGCTGCCGCCGGTAGCGGGGACCGGTGCACCGGCCGATGCCTCGGTCGACATGGTCACATGCACAGAATCTGCAGCGGAGCGTGACGTGATTTCATTTGCAACATTCGTTTGTGACCAGTCTGAATTTTCTGGCTGCGTCGTAGGTCTACCTTCTTCCTCCACCGATGCCAAGTCTATGGCAGAGGCATGATGACAGGACGGCAGGAGCAGCAGCAGCAGCAACAGCAGTATTGTACTAGCGAGCAGCCAGTCATGAGCTGAATACCCCATTCTGCCGACCCAAAAAGCGGAAATGAGCAGTGGCCGACAAGGCCCGTCCTTTCCGAGCGGCAGAGGGGTGGGCGAAGGTCGACGATGGTAGAAGATTCAAGAACCCAAAGGACATCAACCGCTGCACGACTACTGTGCTACATTATAACCGGTACATACTATTACTATGAGTATGATAGATGTAGTTGCTGCGAAATCGGTGCATGACTACAGTACATTCAGTGGTGGGCAAGAACACCTGGGCCATGGGCTTGGCTTTTGTTGGTTTATTTATTAGCCGTGCAGTGTCGAAAGTAACAGTTCGGAAGCGGACAACATCCGGATCCGTAGTACTGTACATAATTATAAATGTACACGCAGGAACGACACGGCCCACGGGTACACACAAAAAAAATACATGTATCACCGTGTGATCACATGACATGGTACCTGCCCGTCAAAGACATACGATAAGTTAGTTTAATACTTGCTAAACTACAGTCTTGTGTCCGTGTTGTGTAGTGTAGAGTTTCACTGTACCAAGGACTAGTCGACTTGGCTAGTTAGTTAGGCACTGACTCAGTGAAAAAAGTGTTTCTGGAAGTGAACTGAAGACAGTCCTCTTTGCACCTTGATTGATCACTCTGCCCAGCAGATTAGCATTATGTACATGCACATGGCTGTCCTGTTGTGGACATAGAAATCCGGGTGGGGGATGACCAGGGCGGGCAGGGGGATGACCAGGGCGGGCAGCGGTGGGCGCCCTTACTTTCTTTTTCTTAGCACATTGTCATACTACAATGTAGTGTACATGCACTGTAGTCTGTAGCACTGTGAAAATGAACCAGCAGTGCTCACTGCCAGCGCCCGTGGCCACTTGACTTCTTGACGGATTTCTGAATGGTAGTCACGGCCTAGTGACAGTGGTGTGTGTGTGTGTGTGTGCGTGTGTGTGCGTGCGTGCGTGTGGGTGGGTGGGTGTGTATGTGTGTGTGTGCGTACATGCATGCGCGTGTGCGTGCATGTGAGTGCATGTACGCGTGTACATTCCCATGTGTATTTGCACCGTATGATGGTAATGACATTATAGATATTGGACATGCAGCCAGGAGAGCAAGGAAGCGTCATCAAGACACATCGTCCAGCGCACTCTGCCGGCATGGCTGGTGCAGCCGCAGTCGGTTTGGACCTTTGTGGTGTCTGTATCCAGGTGTCAGTTATTATGGTCAATGAGCTGCTGAACATCATTGCCAATGAAGGTCGGTCCTGTCGGGCTGTTGTTGTTGATTTTTATTTACTTCACAAGGCCAAACGGGCAATGGTGCCCAATTCTATGAGGCTCACACAGTCTATCTTTGTTAGCACGTTACACAGCTGAGTGGGGCTTCACAGCCACCCATGCATGCCAGGTATACTTCCGAGTGGCTTGTGCATGTGTATTAGTAAAGGGTCCAGGCTGTCCAATAGAGTGCGCGATACCCAAGGGCTGAGCTACTTACAACACGAACTCGTCCACATGTATCAAAGGAGGCGAAATCGCCTGTTTGTGGTGCGATGTTAAATAAACTTCTGCAACTGGATGACGAATTGAAGATTGTGTTGAAACTCCGAGTTTCACGCACGAGGCCTGGGTATCATCACACAACACAATCCTTTATCCTCTTCTTCTTGTTGTTGTATTATGCGTTGGTACATGGATTTCATGGAGGCTTTCACATTGCATCTCTTGCCGACAACAAGAGTACATAACCCCCCAGAGTGTGCAACTCGACTATGGGTGCTGTCCCGACAGAATTTCAAGTTGACGTCATTTTTATGATGCAATGCGCACTGAACACGGATTATCAGACGAATCCGGAACGTGTGCTGGACCGAAGCCGATCTGATCCTGTACAAATTATTGCAGAGAAAAACGTGTGATGCGTTGACACCCGTACACATGTTGTAAATCACTGGTGCAAGGAGCATTGCGTCATAAATAATGACGTCAACTTGAAAATCTGTCGGGACAGCAGGGTATGTGGGAGTTGCACACTCTTGGGGGGTTATGTACTCTTGCCGACAAGGTAATTGGTGTCACGGTACTCATGCCATGTTGGATGTCACATGACGTGTCACATGACGTGTCACATGACTACCGTGCATGCGTTGTCGGTTTTTCCGGACTGCAGGTATTCTGAGTGGATGCACCACACTGTGTGGCAAGCTGCCGCAGAAGCTGGAGCAGGAAGTGTGCGACGCGGGCTGCATCGGCGTCGGTCTGGACGAGTTCATACACATCCTGGAGCGTGTGGACATCGACCCCATCTTCTACTGCGAGTTGGTGCGCCTGTGTCCGATTGTCGACTGCCAGGGAAGGTGCTTGAGCATACGCTCGATGAACGTCACTCCAGCTGAGGTAAGCTGTTGCTGGCAGGGCATCGGTATTATCGCGAGTATCGGGTGTATCGAGTTATAAGCAGTCTGGCAGTACTAGAGTCGGCGACGTACAGTGTACGATATTCAGCAGTTTCCACTTTTTTCCACTACAATAACATGATTCAGATTGTGCTTTTGCACATGGTGGTGTTGATGGTGAGCTATGGATGTAGCATGAAAAGACCAGCCAAACTCTCATAGTGCACTGATCAGGACATGCGGAAGCAGGTATTGGTTGGTCTAGCCATACCATACTTATAGTCTTTCAGACCCTGTCACTGTATGACATGTATTATAGTCTTTCAGACCCTGTCACTGTATGACATGACAGACGGGTACACATTACCTTCTCGGCTGTAAACACACCTTGGTGGCCTAACAGTTTTGCTCTCGACCTGATGTAATTCAACACTAGTGTCCGCTCTGTTTCCTTTGTGTTGTGTTTGTTGCAGGTGTCACTGGGCAAGCCCATCAAAGCTACTGTAGAGCTTCAGGTGTACAACAAGACAGGCACTGGTATGACCAGGGTGGACATCTACAACCGTGCCCAGCCCAAGATGCTGCCACTGCAACACGACTACCTGACTGTGGGGCAGGATCCGGGACTGTAAGTGCAGTACTAACTTACAATACATGCATGGTATGGCAGCTTCGGTCTGAGCTGGGGCAATACAATGTTCTCAAGTCAGTTCATATGGTGGTGGACACTGCAGGAGGGTTAGAACCGTCGGTGCGGCAGGTCCGGCCAAAGCCGCACCAATAATTTTATCTTGTGACTTTTGAAGCAATGAAATATGGGCTCTTTGGGCCCAATTTCCCAAAAACATTCCGGGGGGGGGGGGGACCCCGGACCCCCACCTACTCATGCAGCTGCACCAATGTTGAATACCTTCCGACGCCCTTGCACTGCAGTGGCCCCTTCGTTTTCCTGGCAACGTGGGCAATGGATGTGCCAACTGTGATCCTGCCCAGCCCACGATAACCCAGGGACATGGCCTGGAGCCCTGTGATGATTTGAAGTGGTACCCAGCCGCCTACATAAGCTCTGCGAGTCAAGTTTCAGCCTTTAAAAGAAGTGGGAAAACAGTGTTTGTCACGAAGTTGGTGGAACTACATGGCTCCCGGCCGTGCCATGAATCAGTCAACCTACTTCTTCATCTCCCAGGTCCATACACTGTTCTTTGTTCTGTGTTGTGCTCAATCTTCAGCTACAGCGTGGCAATCGACATTGACACCGAAGAGGAGACAGACTTCTGGCACTACACACCCGGGCCCTACACCGTGCAGGTGTGGTTCTGCGAAGGCGAGTGTGGCAGTCAACACCCGCACTCCAAGATCTACGACGTTCACAACGGCACGTTTGTCATCACAAACTGATGCTAGCAGTGTGCTGCACAGTCATCATGCCTCAAACTGGCAACCATAAGAGTATTACTTCGTTCCAACGTTCCTGCATGAATGATGACTTGCCATGCACAAGGAACACTTATACCACAATACTCACTTTGTTGATCTGGACACTGGTGAACAGTGAGTAGTAAAATGCTGGTATTTTACTACTCACTGGTGATACTGTAGCTGTTACCATGGTTATTAGCTGCTCCTCAGGGGGCAACAATTGAACATACATTGTATTAAACATTTTGGGCAATACTAAATTAATTGTTAGTGTGTTGTTAAATTAACGTCAGTACTGGCGATGCATTACTCGTAGCTTATACGCACACGTACTGTACACACAACTCCCTCACGATGTAGCCAAGCCGTCGTCTTACAGTAACCAAGAGTACATGAAACCCAGAGTGTGCAGCTTGGGGCCTTTTCTGCTATGGGTGTCTGTCACGGCGAAATTCCGTGATTACATCATATTTGGCCCAGATCTGAGGCGGGAAATGGCGTAGTGCGTACAACTGAGCTGCAGTTGTGCAGAAAGAGACCTGCTTGAATCCTGCTTGTACGCACTACATCACTAAAATGATGTAATCACGGAATTTCGCCGTGACAGCCACCCATCCGAGCTGCACACTCTGGTTTTCATGTACTCTTGCAGTAACCTTGTGCCTGTGGTGGTGATTTCCAGGGAGTCGCAAAATACCGGTATTTTACGACTCCCTGGTGATTTCCAATATAAACCAGCCGTTCCGCATGGGGAATTTCAATACAGCTCTCACTTGTACGGAGCATTCAATAATTATGTTTTACATTTTGTGTTTTCATGTGATTTTCATGTGCCAAGCAGAGCAAAGAGCAAGAAAAAAGCGAGTGAAGAGAAAGAGTAGACAGGAAAGAGAATAAGTTCTTTTTGAGGATATCAAAAGACAAATGAGAGATGCACTGTTCGTAGAACTGGTTGCACAGACGCACACACGCACACACGCACGCACACACACACACATGCACGCACATGCACACACACACACACACACCGAGTATGTGAAGAAGGATGCTGCCAACACAGACATCAGGCCTCTTATTAGTCATAAAAGAAAATCTCGAAGGATATATAGATACTTCAAAGCACCTTTGATCACAAATTATGCAAATATTCTGAAGTTCCTAGTGCATGAAAAGGCATGGCAAAGATCAAAAATTGAGAAGCAGAAAAACTAGGTTCACTCTACAAGGGCGTTTGTGTGCCTACAAGAATTGGGTTGTGCTATATAAAAGAAATTCTAAATGACGGACTGACACGTCAAAAACAGAGAGTACACCGCACACTCAGGTGGCGTGTGGGATCTTGCTAGACTCGATGAGGCCGTACTCCTGCAGCGTCTGCAGGCACTGCGTGGCAGCCTTCTGTACATCCGGCGACGAAGGCACTAGCTTCTGCACGAACGCCAGCAGGATCTCCAGTCCGTTGTTCTCAATCATCTGCGGACACGAGCAGGCACACACAGCACATCATCAAGTTGGGAAGACAAGGCCGGCCATGCTTCGTGGCCCGGTGGAAACTAAAAACATACTAGCTCCAAATCCCGGGGATGTCAAGAACGTGATGAAGAGCGTTGAATGGTTTTGATGATCTCCAAGAAAGAAAGCTCTTTAACTGTAGTTGGATCTACTGTAAAACATGTAACTTTAGGTGCATTAAATTTTCGGTGCCAGGGACCTGCCAGGTTTCAGGTGTAATGTAGAATTAGGTAACCAGCGTTCCCTTCACATACAGTACATACACATACTGTAGTGCCTTTAGATGTAATTTAAATTTTAGGTGCCTGGTTTCTCTACCGAAATCACCGAAATTAAAGTTACATCGAAAATCACATGTTTCACAGTAACTCTTATTGGCCACAGGCCGTCGTGAGAGTACAGACTTGAAACAGGACCAGCACACCTGGTCAAAACCCCTCCCAGGCAGCTACCGTATTTTCCGGAGTATAGTGCGCACTTTAGATGTGTTATTTTAGGCCCTAAATCGCAGGTGCGCACTATGCTCCGAATGTGAAATGCATGTAAAAAGTAAGTTTCCAAGGGTGTACTGCAAGTTCAGCACAACAGGTAACACAGCAAATGGACAGACATCCAAACACTTCTACAGCACGCGGCAGGAGAAAAAGATCAGACAATGCAACAACGGGCTCAGCATTCCACAAAACTCACCTTCTCGGCTGATTCTTTCTGATACGCGACCAGACACAGCATCAGATGCATGCCCCTGCAGAAGGATAAAACAATGACGAGAACAACGTCCGCAGCAGCAGCCGCAACACATACAAACAAGCACAATTACATGCCACAGACTCATCCCAATTCATAATCAAGACCCTGGGCCCACATACACCAGCTACCCCTCAGTGATTAGAATCTGGAACCACCACAACGTACTACACACATCAACATGTGCACTGCACTATAGCAGTGTGTGTATACAACGGCCATACCGGTGTGCCAGCTCCGGGTTCTGACTGATCATCAAGTGATGCACAATCTCCACGGCTGACTTCACCTGCAGCAGAGATACAAACAAAGTCATGGTTTCAGTCACACTGCTGTAGTACAGGGTTTCCGCATCTTTCTGCATCTGACATCGCCCCCAGTCGGTCAAAGGTTTGAGTCACACTGCTGTACAGGGTTTCCGCATCTGACATCACCCCCGGTGGATCAAGCGTGGCGGATACAAACGAGAGCCGCACGGCATGTCAATAAGACCCTGTGCCAGGTGATCACACATACTCGTGCACATGCACAGTGATCAGGATAGAGAGGCCACAGTAGGACCTGCCCCATCATGGGTGCTCAGGGCCAAAGGATGCCAGCCCGTACAACAAAATAGTTCACATCCTGGAGATACAATTTACAGTGGGATGCTTTCCATTCTACACTATAAAACAACCCATCGTCCAGCTGCCAACCTATTTTATGAACGCGGGATGCATGCTGGTGACGTGGTCTGTATTCGTGATATTTGAATGGCAATTTCTTCTACTTTGTGGTGAGAAGTATTTCCCCTACGCATACATCATCCAGCACAACTCACCGCCATTATCTTCTCACACACTCTCTTGTCGGCAGCGAGGATTGCAAGTGCGCCAGCAGCAGCCCTGCATCAACACACAAACACACACACACACACACACACACACACACACACACACACACACACACACACACACACACACATATACATACATTCAGCCTTACAGGCACACACATGACTCTAAAAAACCCTAACAACAGCCGGAGCAGTGCTAACTCAGTAGAGTACTTGGAAGTACTCTGAACTAGAACATCCCCTGCAGCAACTCCCTTACCACACCATCATGGCCATACACAACATCCCCTGCAGCAACTCCCTTACCACACCATCATGGCCATACACAACATCCCCTGCAGCAACTCCCTTACCACACCATCATGGCCATACACAACATCCCCTGCAGCAACTCCCTTACCACACCATCATGGCCATACACAACATCCCCTGCAGCAACTCCCTTACCACACCATCATGGCCATACACAATTGGCAAATGCGACACGTGATAACATGTAACTAGAAACACAAGTGAGCAGAATTCCTTTCTTCCCGCGCCCCGGTCTGCTACAGCAAGAACAGAGCGTGACAAGTAGACACCTCTTGGAAGAATTGCACAGCACAGCATGGCACAAGACAACATACAACAAACAGATTGATGGACAGAACACAGGCAAAAGGCAATAGTGAACCGAAACAATGCTATGTCTTCTCACTTTGCAAGTGCCACGTCTTCCTCTCCACTGAACAGAGTCAGAAGCTTGACCTTATCGCCTGTGTCTGCCGCGTACAACTCAAACACCTGCAAGTCGTGTCAACACACGCGCACGCACGCACACACACACACACGCGCACCATTGGACCATTGGACCATTGGACGCCCATCGCCGGAGGCGATGATAGCGATGCTACAGCAGAAGCCATAGCAACTTGTGCTGGGATTGCACCATTCAACAGCTTGCAAGGCTGAAGAATTGGCCGCCACTATTCAGCCTGGTCTACACCACACAGCTATGAAATGGCTTTTTCTGGCCAGTGAATCCCTACTTTTTGGTCTTTTTTATTTATTTTTCCCGCACATACATCACACCACATACTCCGGCATGCACTGGCTGTTGGTAACCACCCAGGAGAATGAAAGAAAAGTCAGGAGGAGTCTGAGAAAGAGAAGAAAGGTGTGTGTGACCATAATCGTCGGGAATCGAACCCGCAACCTATCGATTAGAAATCGCTGCACATACCACTGCACCATATGGGACACACACGCGCACACACACACACACACACACACACACACACACACACACACACACACACACACACACACACACACACACACACACACACACCAACACCCACAGAAGATTGTGATACTGTTCACCCAGATGTCTAGCACCATGAATTGATAAAACGAAAATAGCATGAGCACGTTTGCAGCAGAAGAAACCATTCACATCTGTAACAACTCTAAGTACACGTTACAGGCTGGACTTCAATTGCCACCAACGTACGAGTATTTCACTTGAACCACAATGGCCATAGTTTGCCATTGGAAAGTCAAAAATCGGCTGTCACAGGAAGAAGCATTGTGATAGGTTACCTCTTCGTTGAAGACCATGTTACAAACACATTCGGTGGCGGCACGCCGCAGCATCTCATGCTCTTCAAACATCAGATGCTCGATCCAAGTGAAGCCTTTCTCCCGCATGATTCTCTTTCTGCCCATGCACACAAATAGAGGCGAGCGCACATAACTCCTATGGTCAGAAACTGGCAATGGAAAGGATCAATGATCATATCCACAGTGATGATAGAAGAGAAGAGAAAAGAGATGGGGAGACAGATAGATAGATACTAGATAGACAGGTTTAGAGGGGGAGAGAGAGAGAGTGTGTGTGTGTGTGTGTGTGTGTGAGAGAGAGAGAGAGAGAGAGAGAGAGTGTGTGTGTGTGTGTGTGTGTGTGTGTGTGTGTGTGTGTGTGTGTGTGAGAGAGAGAGAGAGAGAGAGAGAGAGAGAGAGAGAGAGAGAGAGAGAGAGAGAGAGAGAGAGAGAGAGAGAGAGAGAGAGAGAGAGAGAGAGAGAGAGACAAAGAGACAGACAGAGAGACAGAGAGAGAACACTGAACATGATCTAGTAGCAGTGTACCTGTGATCATCACTTGTACTAGCTAGGTTAGTCAGAGCCATCAATGCCTCGAACTGCTGCAGGCCCTGCACACAATAACAACACATGACAGACAAGACGAAGACATGAGTCTGTTGTGATTCTGTACTGCTACACCTGCTATCAGAGACCACGTATCCATGTCGACTATCCTCTTAGGTACCAGGCCAGGCTGTCCAGCTCCACCGCCATGCCAACGCCACACGCCCATGCACCATGTGTACAACAGCGATGGCCTCTCATATAATAATACGTAGAAAACTACTAGAAATGTTTGGTCCAGTGTGGGATAGTCCCACTCAGAGCAGTATGGTCAGATACACAGGTTTTACATGACTAAGCAAGTTTTACTGCACGAAGTACAGGCTTTACAGGGCTAAACACAGGTTTGATTGAGCTAAACACTAGTTTGACTGGGCTAAAAACAGGCTGCACGGGATTAAAGTAAGCACAGGTTGGACTGGGTTAAACACCGGTTTGACTGGGCTAACCACAGTAAGCTGGCACACATACAAGAACACGGGGAAAGACAGATCTATGCATTGCATCCACCGCACCACACCACACCGTACCTGGTCCGCCCGCAGTAATCGTATGAGTGGTCGAACAACCTCCAGAGACTGCACAGGAGTAAGATATAGAAGAAAACAAACACAGTTAGTGTAAAAGCCATATAATTATAACGAAGTGCTGACTCTAACGAGTTAACGAGGAGAAATCTGTCGTTAAAATAGAAATCGTTATACAGAAATCGATACATATACTGTCCTATTGAGCTTTGGGAATGAGTGAGAATCGTTACCTTTGGTACACGTAAACTAGTCAATTTTGGGAAATCGTTATATATGCGCCTCGTTAGAATAATGGCTTTTACAGTAATAAGTTTCAGGAAAGGAAGAATGTGTCATGTGACAAATGCATGTGAAATGCCACTGTGCCTTTGTCAAGATCAGCACGTGAATCACACACGAAGAATATACAACCAAAGAAAATCCGAGTGGGAACACTCCATGAATGCTGAGCGCTATTCACGTAGCTACTCATCCGCAACTCTGGCCAGATCTTCAAGAAGAAGGTTCCGGCGCTCGACCAATGCATCGTCTGTCAGCTTCAATATCCGATCACTTACTCTCTGGCCAGGGAATGCCAGCCGTGGATCGGTGGTGATGCCGATCTTGGCCAGTGCTTGTGCTGCAATGTTCATGCCCTTTGCAGTACCTTCCAGTGCCATTGGAATTAACACCTACGGGTACAGGTAGAGGTACAGCAAAAAAGAGGGTCAGAACCGGGTCCAACACCCATACGGTTCAGATGGTCGTGAAGACCGGGGCTCTGCCAACCACTGAGGTTGTAGTAAGGTCACTGTTTCCGAACACGGTGGTCTCTACCTTGTTACATGCTGTCAACCAACAGCATGTACAGCATCAGCAGCAGCCATTAATCCCCCTCCCCACACACACACACAAAAGCAGGAAGCGCAGAAATCAGCCCCAAGCCTACTCAAGCTAGTGTCCTTCACACACACACTGCTACAGTGGCCAAGGAAAGTGTTCTTTTATCATGACATGGGACCTATAACACAGCAACCCCAGGCTTTATAACAGTACAGGTATGCCTACTGTACAAAGCACAGCCAATAGAGATGGAACGCTGGGCGAACGCTCACAACAGCCAGAGCGTGCATACGCTGTACATGTACAAGAGGAGCGCATGAGACTAACCTTGGCTCCACCCTGCTGCACGACAGTGCCACGATGCTTCTGCTCAGCAGCTAGTGCATTCAACACACTGTCGTGCACACACACACACACACACACACACACACACACACACACGCACGCACACACACACACACACACACACACACACACACACACACACACACACACACACGAGCACCACAAAGAAGCAGACATTGGCTTAGTGACAGGCAAAAGCAGTGGCTGTTAGGCCCAAGCTGTCAGAAATCACACATGCACACCAGCACTGGTATAATGGGCAACAAGCAACATCTCCAAGATGACAGCATTGCTGAACAAAAAAAGTAGCAGGTTTTACACCCCAAACTACGTTGTACATGTATACATACAAGTACACGTACATACACTTGAGAAGAATCAAAACCTCTCCGAGCGTACAAGTACATGTGCATGTAAGTTGGGTCACTGTCAATCATGGGATTGTCCAAGCGGGAGACGTCATAATCTCAATGGCGGGGGTAAGAAGACTTGACACACAGTCATTGGGACAAGAGGTGGAATCCATCTGCCGTGTCAATCGCACAACACAGGACACATCGCATTGGTCCACTTACCGACAAAGTTGTTCACGACTACTGTGACTGGTCTGAGTCGCTAGCTGCACTATCGCCGGTACAACGCCAGTCTGTTACCGTACACACACGCACACACACACACACACACACACACACACACGCACGCACACGCACACCTCAGACCTCAGACCTGCCCATCGCGGAAGCGATGATAGCGAACAGCTATGTTAGAACTAGCAACTTGTGCTGGGATTACACCATTCAACAGCTTGCAAGGCTGATGAATTGACCGCCACTATTTTTAGCCTGGTATCCACCACACAGCTGATTGAAATGACTTTTCTGGCCAGTGAATCCCTATTTTTCATTTTTCCATTTTTCTTTCTTTTTTTCTTTTTTCACGCGCACACACACACGCACACACACACAAAGCAGGAGCAACAGCAAATACAGAGCATAGTTCACAAGCAAATGAGCACAATGCTTATTAATGGGAAGTGCACTCATTCCAATGAACCATACACATGTACATGTATGCACATGGTTCATGGGGTCCACATAAGACTGACAGAGACAAGTCCAACACAACCACAGCATACATGCACACAGGCATTCCAGTGCAGTATTAAAACATAACAAACCCACCTCTATCAGAGTATCGATACGACCGGTGACGAAATCCTCGTCATCCTTTGCATGGTGAAACAGGTACAGCAAAACGAACAACATAGAATCAGAAAAATGCTCGAGCAAGGAAACGCAAAAGCCCTTCCAGTCAACGACGCCAGAGGATGTAGCAGAGCGCCGTGTGAAAGTATTCGTATTCGTTCGGTTGAGCTTATCGAACGAACATTTGAACATTCGGAATATTCGTTTCACCCCTACTCTAGAGAGGTCATAAGGTGCCTGGTGGACGGACGCGCCTGGATTAGGGATGTGTCGATAAGGAGAGTTGTACTGTATAACTTGCACTACACAGAAGCTACATGTGCAGCTCAAGACGCGGACTCACTCAGCCTGAATAAATTGCACAGAATTGTGATACATGTTCTTCGAATAAATGTGATAATTACGGAAATGTTCAAGATACTCTCACTCTCTCACCAGCACATGCTCCTGAGGAACGTTCTCGCCGGCAAACTCTCCCAGCTTCTCCAACTCCTCGTTCTTGTCTGGCTTGTCGTAGCTGTTGGTGAGGTTTACCAGTGCCGTACTGACTCCATAGAGCAGTGACTTGTCCTCATGCTGTCAATACACGTATGCACAGGGGATAGGAATAGTATAGGCAGCGCACAGAGCAACCGATGATACAGTACAAACTAAGTTAGTGCTGCATCAAAGATTGGGTAGGTGGCAACACCAATGGTGATAGCGACAAATGCCTGAAGCTGTGTGTGTGTGTGTGTGTGTGTGTGTGTGTGTATGTGTGTGTGTGTGTGTGTGTGTGTGTGTGTGTGTGTGTGTGTGTGTGTGTGTGTGTGTGTGTGTGTGTGTGTGCGTGTGTGTGGTGTGTGTGTGTGTGTGGGGGGGGGGGGTGAGAGGGAATGTGTGCGTATGTGCGTATGTGTGTGTGCGCGTGTGTGTGTGTGTGTGTGAGAGAGAGAGAGAGAGAGAGAGAGAGAGAGAGAGAGAGAGAAGGAAAGAAGAGAGCGAAATGAATAATTAAATGAATAAAGAGAGCGAGAGACATACCTTGGCAAGTTCAAACAGAGCCTGAAGAGCGGGCTTATCTTTCACGATATCTTCCTTGACTTCGGCATCCAGCGTCAAAAAAGCCATACCTTCAGCGGCCCACTTGCGGTTCTCAAATGTCTGCTCCTCTGCCACCAGGAACCTGTGGACACGAGAGTGAATAGTGCATGTCAGCACAGGTGAGTGTGAAGGAGCACAATGAACATAAATTATTATAAGGAAATACGGTTCAGGACACAGTACTGTTTGCACGTCCACGTTACAACCGGCTATACAATTGCGTTGAGAAACACAACCAACTTAGGAAGTTTTGCTCGTGCCAGGCCACCACCATGCCTGTAATAACAGGGTGGCAGATGCAGTGCCTAACAGCGAGGGTGAGGTGGTAACTTTCACAACCACAACCAAAGGACACAGTAGCAAATCTAAATCAACAGTTCATCAGTATGTTCACTTTTGCCAGATCAGGTCACTTTCGATACGACATGCCAGTAAACCGCCACTGCCTAGAGTGATGATGAGAAACACCTACGTTCTGCATTGCTTTCCAAGGCGACGACCAGCACCCTCCACAAACGTCTTGGCGTTGACGTTACCACCGTGTGTGGATGCCATCTTGCACAGGGCCTAAGTAGCAGATACCATGCATGATAGTAAGAACAGCAACATGATACTGCTAACGCTATGAACAAACACGCACGCGTGCACGCACGCACACACATACACACACACACACACACACACACAAGACACAATGGACTACTACTACTTTGGCCAGCTGCACACCAAAACATCAGCCGCACAAGAAAGAGTATGATCTGAGTACGAGACAGATAAAGTGTGACTTACCACAAGCGCTCGTATTCTAACACGGTCATTACTGGATGTTGTGAATAATGTCTTCAGAGCCTCAACACCCTGGAAAGAGAGAGAGAGAGAGAGAGAGAGAGAGAGAGAGAGAGAGAGAGAGAGAGAGAGAGAAGTACAGCTCTTCACATTAGCTGATCTGGAAACTGTTCTTCTGTCACCAATCAGACATACAGTCCCCAAGCAGCACACTGCCCATATCTTTTACATCATCCACTAAGTAAATCTGCACGGGTGATGTGCTGGTACATGAATGTATGAGGAATACATGCACGAAACAAATACTTTCCTGTGCACATGTGACCAACCAACAACAACAGCAACAACAACAACAACAACAACAACAACAGCAGCAGCAGCAGCAGCAGCAGCAGCAGCAGCAGCAGCAGCAGCAGCAGCAGCAGCAGCAGCAGCAGCAACAACAACATCATCAGCAGCAGCAGCTACAACACAGATAATTACGTTATTCTTACATCGCCAAGCAGAGCCGTACAGCGTGACTTGTCTCCTGCGGCATGTGCCAGTGCCTCTGTTGCTACAAGCTACGCACAGGTCAGACATGGAGGATAACAGAACAGAGCACAGATGACCAACGATACAGTACATGATAGTACAGGCAAACTCTGCTCAAGCGACCAACACCATTCAGCCAGTGTGACTACTTTCCTTTGACACTGAATGTGGAGAACACTCAGGGATCCACTGATAGCAGGCGCTGGCTGCAAAGTTGAAGACAATACTGCACAGCTACTTCGAAGTAGTGCCTGGCATCAGTCTCACCATCCATGTGATGCGCATTCGGTGGCCTTTGAACAAAGGTACGGTCAGACCTCGCTTAACCGCACACAGCCATTTTCAACAAAAAATATCCGGATAGGTGAGGGAACCGGATAATCGAATATACATACTGCATGTATGCATGGCATATGTTGTAAATCGGTAACCAGCGATATTCTTCCGGATGGCGAGGGATCCGGATAAAAGAGGACCGGATAAGCGAGGTCTGACTGTACCGGTGGCTTATGAAAACAGGGCTACACTGAGAGTGCTCCGCATTCAGTGTTGTCTGACGATCACTCTGTTTGTGGGAAACTGAGTTACAGAAACTAGGCAGTTTCTTTTCCCTTCTTCTTCTCCGTACTGGTACGCGTATGTGTATCTACAAGATACAAAGCAGAGCTGCCATTGTCCACTATGTTGTACGAGTGGTGGCCATGGAGCCTGGAGTAACAACAGAACAAAAATGTCCCGCCATTGTGATGGTGTGTGTATCTATGACATGTAATCTTACCTGTGTTGCGAGATTGTCGGACTGTGCCATCTTGAGAATGCTAGGCAGCACATTCTCCCTAGCTAACATGTCATTACCAAGGTCACTGCATCCCTGCACCACACGACAAACACGGAAAGCACAGAAACAGGCACACAATCATACGCAGTCGGACGCTGTAGAGATACCGTGTTCAGTGGACAGAATCAACAGACAAGTACGGGACTCGATGAAATGGAACTCCGCAAATCCAACCACAATATAAAAGTTAGAGGCCAAGACACACAACATGCGGTACAAAACGCACCTGCGCAGATTAGGAGTCACACTTGTCACAATTGCAGACATACATAGAAAACGGAGATAGGGCTTGGGCTCGTGGTCCCAGTTCAAATCATGCTACCAATCACTGACTTCTACTGATCAACATTCCGATCGATTTCAGTCGAGAGAGAGAGAGAGGGGGGGGGGGGGGGGCAGGGGGGATAGGGTAAGGAGAATGGAAGGTAATGACGTAGCAGAACATCTTGCTTACCTGCACAACAGCCGAGAGAGCAGCAGCCCCTTGTATTCTAGTGTCCAGGTCAGATACAACTAGTTTGGGACTGCAGCACAGGACAAAAAGCGCAGCAGAAATCAGCCGTGTACACGCAAGTGAACACACACACACACACGCACGTGCGTGCGCGCATGCAAGCATCGACATACGGAAGGGGGAGCCAAAGCGGACACAGACCCAGACTGCACACACATAGTGAGGTTGAGCCAGAACCATGAAAGGGGGCACAGCCAGACAGAATAATCATCGTAAGAACAAAACGGCTGAGCACAAGAAATCGTGAGTACAACTATGGTTCACGGGAATGGGGATGAATCGCTAGACTCACCAGATAAAGAGAGCACACTCCTTCTTGAACTGTGTCTTATCCTTGCTGCAAGTACAAACAACACAAGTTGACAGCACAGTTAAAGTACAAGTATGTATTTTTTTTTAATTATTATTATTCCACAATCACCCCCCCCCCCCCCCACATACACACGCGCGCACACACACACACACACACACGCACGCACGTACGCACACCCACCCACACCCCACAAACACACACACACACACACACACACTCCGGACCAGCTCACCCGACGTTATCGTAGATGTTGCCTAGCGCCACGGCCACATGCATGCGCAGTACATCACTGACGCTTGCCAAGCCTGTCTTTCCGTCGACCAGCTCCACACAACCTGCAGCCACTTCCAGTAGCGTTGTCACACCTGCCACGAAACAGAACCGCAAAGAAAAAGAGAAGAAACAAGGGTACTTGAGCACCACAGCTGCACTCCAGGGCCAAAGCACTGTGTAATCCTCCCACCCAACAACACTATGGAGTGTATTTTTGCACCCTTCAGTTTTCACTATGGTTCACGCAGTTGGTCACATGTACTACTACAAAACATTTCTCTGAATAGAAAAAAAAGAGCGGTTGTCAGCTGACAAACCCCCTTTTATTTACAATGCAGTTGCGTGATGTCCACCACTTTTAGAAAAAAAGAGGCTGTGTTGTCTAATTTACAGTCATTCAACCTACTCATACAGTATGGATGGCACCGCATTCATAAAAGCCGATTGAAAAGCAGGCTAGGCTGCGCACCCGGAGTGATTAGTAGACTTGTGGCAGCGATTACTGAACTGACAAATCTCCAGAACTGTTTACCATGTACGAAGGCTCCACTGCAGCCTACAATGATTAGTTGTACACTTAGTTGTACACTTGTACACTTTGATGAAGCTCCACGGGTGGAAATCTGGAGATGCAGCTTTGTAGAGCCACAGACCGTGGTGATAACGGTGGTGTTAGAGACGTTAACTCAGAACACTAATCTTCCACACGGCGCCTTGCCAGGAAAACTGGACCAACATTGAGTACAGACAAACATAGACCATACCTTCAAGATGAGAAATCTCTTTGGTCACACCCGGTAGCCCAGCTACTTGCACAACCAGATCCACCATTGCATCACGCCCTTCGGATGTCAGCCTATGCAAACAGGTGGCAAGAAACACACATACAATGCATGGATGCAAGTCTGGAAAGCTATCGATTAAAAAGCAGCAATGGGTTCCCTGCTCTGCGATAATGAATAGCAAGTGTGCGTGTGTGTGTACGTGTGTGTGTGCGTGCGGGCGTGTGATAGTATGCCATCAACGACGGATCTTTCTTTTCTTTGCTTGCTTACTCTTTTTCCTTCATGAGACCGAAAGACGTCTTGAGAATATTGCGCACTTCGGCCATCGGCGCTGGAGCAGCAAGCAAACACAACAAAACCATCCCAAACATCAAAGCTACACTTCAGATTCCCGGGCCCGGTTCGGGGGCCATGCGAGAGATTCAAAAAATCATGTAAGATTCCGAAACCGCCTCGGTCAAATGCCGCACATTTTGCCATGCAAGTCCGAGTCCCTAACCTTTTAATACCAGTACAGGTGGAATCCTGATAATTCGAATATGGCTTAATTCGAACATACCACTTAATTAGAAGTTTTTCCAGGACCGATTTCTATCAATACGATTCCCACATAAACTTTTCTGATAATTCGAACCTCGAACCGGACATGTCAGGTTAATTCGAAGTTCCACGGATTCCACTTACATAGAAAATGTGTGGGATTTGTGCTGATAATTCAAAGTAAGCAAAGTGTAATTCGAAGTTCCCTGTACACTGTACTGGTCAGTTCAGTTTGCATGAGCAGGCTGTGCTGGTCGGTTCAGTATCCGTGAAATCTGTATCTAAGGTCCAAAGCGCAACTCTGCGTGAACATGGGAGCATTTTGACATACATATTGTGTTGCGGGTTCATGTTTGGATAATTAGAATGTCCGGATAATTAGAAGTTTTTTCCTGGCATTTGGAGGTTCGAATTATCAGGATTCCACCTGTAGTTGAAAGCCTACAAATCTACGTCACACCATTGACCAAGGAAGGATATAGTGAGTGCGTTCGCTTATGCCCACGAATCAATGTTGAATCCATTCATAAAATCGCCCCTGGCTATTCACATCACCCCATGTGAATAGGGTGAATGGAGTCCGAGCCAATTCCAGGGCCCTTGACATGAAATCGAACCATGAGATTCCATTCATGAATCGATTCACAGCAGTAATCGAACACACTGAGTGTGAATGAAGCCTAAATGGTAACACCCATTATCCCCAATCCGGGGCATAGGCAGCACCATGTCAAGATCCAGTGACGTACGTGTGACAAGAGCTGTTTCCGATCCCTTCAGTTCTGTCTTGTCCGTTCCAGTGAAGGCCTCGACTGCTTGATGTAGAATGTATGCCGCACTGACTGCTAGTGTGCCGTGGGTCTGATTACATAACGGAGAAAATGCACAAACATCTTTACATTGTTCTTTTTACATTGCACCTGGACTTACATACACGCACACACGCACGCACACACACACATGGTTTCTCGACAATAAAATGCCATGATCAGACACATGTTGATGACGTGAAATAGAACTGTCTGGCCAAAACACCGAGGGCTAAGCTGCAACCTAAACCAAATAAGGCAAACATCAGACCCCAGGGGCGTCAGAACCGGTGCGGCAGGTGAGGCTTTGCAATCATTTTAAAATTTGATTTCGGAAGCAATGAAATATGGGCTATTCGGGCCAAAAAGTTTCCTGGGAGTCGGGAGGCCCCTCGCACCCCTGCCCTTTCATAGCCACACCAATGTAGAATATCTTCCTACGACCCTGGGTCCGCAGACGTTACGCAGGTGATGGCAAGCATTCTGATCTGAAGCATGAAACCAAAGAGTGACCCACATACATCAGTAGCAGCAGCACAGTGGGTGATAGGAGCAAGAGGTCCTCCACGTTTTGCAGTACTGTACATGTACATCACAGTAACCACATCCAGGAGCGTAGCTCGCACATCTGTGGTGTGGTGACCATGTACCAGAGTACATCTGTGGTGTAGTGACTATGTACCAGAGTACATCTGTGGTGTGGTGACCATGCACTGGAGCACATCTGTGGTGTGGTGACCCTGCACCACTGGCAATCTCATAGTTGCCATGTTTAGTTGTTTACCTACTTTTACTATGTAGTGCATATGACGGCCATTGGCAGGTGTGGTGACCGGACTGTGCCGACTATACACGAGCTACGCGCCTGACACCCTACCAAAGGCATTGTAGCAAGAGGGGGGCAACACAATGCTGGGACTTACATTCGAAATGAGCTTCTTGAAGCGATCATCTCCAATTTCATGAACAACGGCAGATGCCTGGAGGAGAAATAAATAACACCAGATACCGTACATGTCACCAGCCTGAACAGTTTCGACACATAAGCATCTTGAGTCTCTGTGGTTCATGCAGGACACCGGGTGAGTGTAAAATACACAGAGTTCAGCTGATGCCGCCGGTGGAATCAGACACATTCCTTAAAGCTTCGGTGCATTGAAGGTAACTCAGCCTGAGTCATGTGTGTGTGCTGGTAGATGTATATGAACACATGCTAGTGTACCACATTAAGCCACACAAAAGGCCTAGTGGAAATACCTACAAGCATCTGGCCCTCCATTCCGAGTTTCTTGCAATGAACCGGGCAACGCAAGGCTCTGAGCGGACTACTGTGAAACTGTTAATTTTAGCGCCAGTGATATTTTAGCGATTTTAGTGAAAGGAGAGTTTTCGCTAAAGTTTTGTTGTGCCAACCAAAATGTTGCATTTGTTGACTTTAATACAGTATGTACAACTCACCCGCGCCTTGTGCTTCTCGCAGATAGATGCCAGAGCGCGCAGCAGGGGCTGAGCCAGCTCCACATCATCCTCATTCATAATAGATAAAATCCTAGGTATGCCACCTGCACGAAAGGCATGCACAAACGGTATGCAAGCAAACATCAACGTAAGTAGAGTACAGTCAACTTCGCTAATAGCGACTGCGGATATAACGAAAATTCGCGAATAACGACAGAGTTTCCATGCCCAGAGCACAGTCCATTCTACCTGAATACATATAATGAGACTTCGGGTATAACGACACTTCGCGAATAACGGCACTTTTCTGATGCCCCGCCGAGTGTCGTTATACGCAAAGTTAGTTAACTTTATTGACAGTGTTACCAGTCTAAACAATACACCAATACACACACATGCTCTAACAAGGCTGACAATAGGGCAGACCACCATAGCCCCCCCCCCCCCCCCCCAAAAAAAACACACACACACACACAACACAACTGTTTCTGAGAATACAAGAAAGTCAGAACCTCACCCTATGGCATAAGAAAGTTGGGAATTGAGGCAGCATAAGAAAACAGAGGTCACACAAACGACTTACTGTTCTGGAAAATCTTGGCAGCACCGCCTTCTTGGCCAGCAAGAATAGCAATGTTCTTAGCCATCTACGCACACACAAAGGCACACCCAAACATACACACACACGTACACACACACACACGTACACACACACGTACACACACACGTACACACACACACACACACAATCACAAGTACGATGTGGTCCAGGAAGATGTGGATCACAGACAAGAATATACTTCGAAGTAACAGCAACCCCAAACAAAACAAAAGAAGCGCTCAAGCCCAAATCCTACGGAAGTCAGTTCCATAAAGACAGAAACAATGTGGCACGAATGCTGAGCTGACGAGTGTCGAGCTGACGAGTGCTGAGCTGACAGCAAAATTACTGGAAATATACAGCAAACCCGGTGGCAACGAATATCACTGGGCTGGGCTAGGCTGCGTAGAAGGACAGAGTAGAGATACTTCCTCTGGTTCAAGAAAAATATCGAAGTTCTACCTCAAGATATGAGCCAATTATGAGAGCAACAAGTTTAGTGAACCGGACTGGATAAAGTATGCTTTCTCCCATAACTCACACTATACACAGCACATGTACAACAATGAAGATATCTGGATGGGAGAGTAGAGAAAGGAATGAAACTCAGCTCAGCTCACCTGTAGTTTCGTGGCCCGGTCAGAGTCCGGCTTGCATAGCTCAAGGAAGGACTCGGACACGGCACCTTCCGTCGACTCCCGACTCTGAACCTGCAGAACATCGGGGTCACAGAGGAAGAAGGGAGTCAATAACACATGTGCTATCAATCCCTATCATACAAGCATTCGCCAAACATGTATCTAAAGATCTTGAGTTTACTATCCGGTCCAAATTCGGTTTTGCTAGATATGAAAGACGTTAGATAGCGCTTGAACTAGGTTTACAGACAACTTGAAATCTGTACTTAGTAGTAGTGGGCAAGCAGACGCCAAATCAACTTGTGAAGTCACGGTTCAGGAGATTCTCGCCTACCACCGTAATAACATAATAACATAGGTATTTATACTAATGGTGGAGCAATGAGGGCAAACACACACACACACACACACACACACACACACACACACACACACGCACGCACACACACACGCACGCACACACACACACACACACACACACACACACACACACACACACACACATGCGTGCACTCAGTAGGAGAAAGGGCATGCCACCTCCACAAACACGATATCCGAAAGTGAAGCAAATAGCCGTGCGTAATGAGCGCTAGTATTTACCTTAGCCGAGACGACATTACGAAGATGAGACGCTAGCTCGATTCCAGCCTTGTTCTGCAAGAACACCAGCAAATATCAACACACAACAAGTCCATGCAGTAAGCATACATATGTACTCTATTTCTTTCTTTTCGTGCAGAATAGTGATTAGCATGCGGTTGGTGAAACAAGCCCACAACAACCACCCACCCACACGCACGCGCACACACAGGCACACCCACACCCACAAACACACAGACACATACATGCGCACACACACACCACACACACACCTCAGACCTCACCTCAGACATGCCCATCGCGGAAGCGATGATAGCGAACAGCTATGTTAGACATAGCAACTTGTGCTGGGATTACACCATTCAACAGCTAGCAAGGCTGATGAATTGACCGCCACTATTTTTTGGCCTGGTATCCACCACACAGCTGTTTGAAGTGACTTTTTCTGGCCAGTGAATCCCTATTTTTCCTTTTTTTCTTTTTCTATTTTTTTCTACAGACACACACCACACCACATACTCCGGCATACACTGGCTGTTGGTAACCACCCAGGAGAATGAAAGAAAAGTCAGGAAGAGTCCGAGAAAGAGAAGAAAGACGTGTGCGACCATAATCGTCGGGAATTGAACCCGCAACCTCTCGATTGGAAATCGACTGCACATACCACTGCACCATATGGGACACACACACACACACGCACGCACACACGCACACACACAGACACACACAGAGAGGCACACAAACACACGCACACCCACACACTCACCTTCGGATCTACATGTAGCAAGAGCTTGACATCCCGGAACGCTTCCGCAGCCTTGCCAAGCTTTTCATACGCCTGCGCTCGTCGAAATAACGCTTTTGACTCATTGGGTGTAATTACAAGTGCTGGGCACAACACAAAAGAAACGATTCTCGAATTAACAACAGTAAGTTAGTATTATCAATGAACTAATAATTTTCACCTTTCTGTAGTGCATCCAATCGATCACAGCTATTCTGCTCTACAGCATTGTTCCTCAAGATTCTGAGCTTTCTGTTTGTCTTTCTCTTTATCATCATCCTGAATGGCACAAGTGAAGTAGGCATCCCCGCTTACATCGCGATAGTGCTTATAATAATAATATAATATAAGTTAGTAAACCTGCTGTTGATGTTGACCTGTATACATTTTTGTCAGCGAAAACCTCCATTAGAAGTCTGATCTCAACCTTTTCGTTAGCAGTGCATTTTCATTACTGTCACAACAGATACACAAATGTACGTATTCTTGGCACTAAATTATCCAACCAAAAAAAGAGACAAGATCAGACAAAGAGCTGTGACGTGCAGGTGCATGTACTATGCCACATACGAATATTACCTGCAGAGGAATCACTGACTGCCTTCTTCCATTGCTCCTGCACACACATACGCACACACACACATACACACACACACACACAAAAACACACACACACGCACACACACACACACGCACACACACACACACGTGCACACGCACACACACGCACACGCACACTCACACATATATACAGACACACAAAGAATGTAGACAAATACAAGTTATACAACCACATGTTGAGCATTCGCATGCCACTATCTCAACAGTGTATAGCAGGAACGAACTTCTGGGCATGATGCCGCCGATACATCGCCAAATGATTCCTCTGGTCTGCATACAAGGAAGACCAAGCCACATTGAGTCGCACATACTAGTGGGTGCAGCTCGGGGGGTAGGACACGAGTGATCAGATTGCTCACCTTCTTCAAGTAGCACGCTGCACGGTTTCGGTACAGCACAGCACAGAGGTCGATGTTGGGCGGACAACACTTCAGACCACAGCTAAAACAAAGCCGACAAGGATACGCCATTCGCATGAACAAACACCAAAGCATACACACATGCAGGTGTTCACACACATAAATGAGGAGGGGGGGGGGGGGGGGGGTTCTGATGAGCAAGTTGTGACAGCAATACACATGGGTATTATCTGTACGATTTCCAGTCCGTACACACAGTACAGTACCTATGTGCACTCAGTCTTACTGCAGACAAGTGCAGACTGGTACCCACAGAGCATCGCAAATCACCGCCTCGCAAAAGCGAAGTCAGAAGAACATTCCACTCAAAAAGAGAACAAATTTCAGGCTCTTGACAATCAACATTTTTTTTAATCCACTAGTATTTCCACCACCTTGTCATCAGTGGAATACAGGCAAAAAAGAAGCTGAACCAGCACAATGAATTATATACAGCAGTGATGTGGTACAAGCAGTGCAAAGAAGAGTAGTCAGAAACAGCACGATAAGATTCGTAATCTCATGCACATAGAAGGAATGACGAACAGGTGCAAGTGTGAAGAAATCACACAAGCGTGAGATGTATTGCGACAACAATAGACAACTAGAGAAAAGTTAGTTTTGTCCATTTGTTGTCTATTGTTGCTGCAATACATCGTGCTTGTTTGATTTCTCCACACCTGCACCTTTTCGCTGTTCCTTCTATGTGCATGAGGTTAGCATTTTATCGTATTGTTTCGGGCTACTCTTCTTTGCGCTGTTTCTATCACCTTTTTATCTCTGCTGTACTGAACCTGCAGACAGGACTGTTTCGTCCTTTGTGGACTCATCAGCGCAGCCCAGAGACAAAAAAAGAGGCCGAACCTGATAGCAATGAAAAGTAAATTGTCCAAAGCAAGATTTAAACCAGGCCCGAACGTACCTAGCCAGAGTGCTGAAACTGACAAGTCAGTGAGCTTTGCTGTACATAATTTAGTGGTGTGCACGGGTCGTCGGGTACCCGTGCTACCCGTGAGGACCTCGGGTAGACGGGTACAGAATAGTACCCGAAAACCCGAAGTCGCAGATGACATCATGTACAGTACACGTGTACAAATTAATGCAATACTCCACATGTCTACCCAGTATGTAAGGGAAGGGGTGCATTGTGGTGTTACCATGGACACAATACCCGATCGGGTACCCGTGCTACCCGTGGAAAATTACCCGAACCCGATACCCGAAGAAAATGCTACCCGACTCAGCCCTAACATAATTCACTGTGCGCGTTCATCCCCTTTTTGCCTGTGCTCCACATGATGATAAGTAATAGTGGAAAGTTCAACTCGGATGTGAGCCAATTAAATTATGGTGAAAAAAGGAGGACAACATCTGGTTACGTTGGTGGACAGTTAGTCATAACTCGTAACATTTTGTCCTCCTTCTTTCACTAGTGGAAAGGTTTTGAAAATGTCGATGGTGAAGAGCCTGACAATTGTTCTCTTCCTGAGTGTCATTGTATTTTGCCTCCAAGAAAACTACAGTATTAACAAGTAGAAGAACAGGAACAAGTGACCAGGAGACAATAGTTTAAAAAGCACATTGTAATGTTCTCTGAAAAGGTCCTCTCCATGATACAAGTCTGGTGTACAGCAGAAGAGTACATGTAGAGGGAGCAGATGCAAAATCGACATCATCCCGATACAAGCACGCATACTTGTTACTTGTTACTTGTTACTACACTATTACCACCAGGGCTGAGTCGGGTAGCATTTTCTTCGGGTATCGGGTCCGGGTAGTTTTCCACGGGTAGCACGGGTACCCGATCGGGTAATGTTTCCATGGTAAGGCCACACTTTGTTTTTTCTATGTTTCTCGTCATCGCCCGCGTAGGTTTTCAGAAATTTCGGAAGAAAAAAAAAGTTCATACTATGTACATGACTGTACATGTATGTATGCTGCACATGCTGCAGCAGCTAGATGCGTCAATCAAAATCGTAAACGTTTGCATCACAGCAGCAAAGGAGCGCTCCCCGTCCGTTCTCTGCGATGAAGGCTGCCATGACGAAGCTTTCACTTTCAGTCGTTCACTGCCTAAGCCTCGTAGGTCCCAGGAATACCGTAAGTCCGCCGAGTTCCGTGGCAACTGGCGTCTGTGGAATAATGTCGTGGGCAGAAAATCCAAGGAATAGACGCATGGCCATGGTGAGGAAAAGATGAGCAGCGTGGGGACAAGAACATTGAAGTAACAAAACCAAAAATGACGAGTGGGAAAGCGTTTGTTGATGCGATAGCAGATAAATGTATGTTCTCTTCGCCATCTCGTATTCATCAAACTTTATACTCTCATTGTTGCAGTTTGCCTGATATTCGTGGGCTGATGTGATAACGTAGTGCAATCATGTATGGGACTACATGTACAATGTAGTACTGTATAGATGGTATGCGCAGCGTCTTGTATGAATCACGCATATACATGTAAAATGTATACAGTTTTCAGTTCTTGTTTTTTTCCTTAGCTTTTGTTTTTTTCCGCCCGCCCGCATACCTTTTGTTAAAATTTGCCGACGAGAAACATAGAAAAACAAAGTGTGGCCTAATGTAAAACAAACCAGTCTTGTCCTTTGTGTCCTGCGTCCCGGGAACGGAATGGCTGAGATTCCGTAACATACTCGACACCATCCCAAATCGCGACACGCCCAGAACAACGCCAACCAGCTTCCACTAGCAGCCGAGTCGGTACTCACGAGGCGATGGTGAAATCCGCTAAGCGAGCCCTCCAGCACATTCTGGGCAAGGCAGATGTCAATGACGAGGAGTTGATGACAGCCTTTCGTGGTGCTGAGACCCTACTGACGTCACGTCCGTTGAGCTATCAGGCTGAAGACCGAAGGATCAGACTGCGCTAACACCGAATCACTTCCTGACGGGACAAGTGGGAGAGGTCGGTTCGCTCCAGAGTCAGTAGACGAAACGCCATTTCATCCCCGAAAGGCGTTGGCGAATAGTACAAGAATTGATCCAGCATTTCTGGAAGCGCTGGATTCAAGAGTGGGTGATGATTGCGTGACGTGACGAGAAGACGCGCAAGTTGTCGTTTTGATTCTGATGTGTGGTGTGAAGCGTCTCCACGCACACATTAATTGGTAGCAGAGGATGGTTACGATACCAGGTGGCTATTCCCTGGACTGAGGAAGTTACGCAGCTCAGCTGTAAGCCAATACCAGCAAAGAGTCAACCTGCTATGTTTCATGAGCAAACACCTCACTGCATCCACCATCATGACCCTCTACAAAGGATACGTACGACCAACCACTGAGTACGCTAGTTCAATATGGAGCTTCACCCAAATGACGGCCCAGCTCAATTTAACATACATGCTACGAAGTGGGAGCGAAAGCCGAACAAGCTGGTGATTACCCACCATGGACGATATTTGTCCTGTCTTTTTCTTCTTTATCCTCCCTGTCTGATTTTAAGAAGCAAGCCCGCTTCCATCTGTTATAAGTTCCACTGTCGAGTTATTGTACGGCTAACCGTTGTTCGCATAAAAACCACCAAGCAGTCGTGGTATACAGATGGTCACTCAACCCTTACAACGCGGAGAACCAGAAAATACCATGTCCAGAATCCAGAACATATCGACGATCTAGTACCTCCACAACAACAGTAACAGCTGTAGCTGAGTTGTAGTATTCATTGTAAACGAGCATAAACGAGCATACTTCAATGTGATGAAGTACTAGTAGCACGGTGTTGTATATCCTGCATGTCGGTGATTTTGCTTGATTGCGTCACCTCCGTGCCATTCAGCTCCACCCTGAGGTTCTTGTACCAGGAAAATGCAGGTGATGTGGTGCATATCCAGTGTTCGTAATCACGACTGTTGCCACCGTTTCGACTGTCCTCGACGGTGTATTTGAATTTAACTATGAAGTAGCTCTCGCTCAAAGCCATAAAGTTGGGCGATGATATGTCCAGTTCATGATTCAGGGACGGCGGTGATCGATCTGCGCTGGAATACAGCAAAACGCTGCGTCTGCCTTCTAGCATGGAGTACTTTTTTCATTTCTTTCCTGGATACTGTTCTGCACCACCTTGGCGTTGGTGAGCAGACCTTTAAACGATTCGGGGATCGCCGGAGAGACGAGCGTCTGCGCCATGCTTGTTCTCCTCGTTTGCCTTTACATACGAGGGGGAAATATTTTCAAGTTGGTCGTCCAGAGAGCCGTCCACAAAGTCGCGAGCCTCCTCATAAATACCCTTCAACTCGAGATGCTCCTCGCTGGTTAGCCCTCCATCATGCATGCATGCACCCAGTTCCATGGTGAAAGCGTCTTCGGCCTTATCCCATCGCTGTTGAGAGAGTAGGAGCTTTTTCTGCATTCCACGTTGGATCGAGACGCAGTGCGGGCGATTACCCTCCTCCCCCTCCCCCCCCCCCCCATCCATCTCCAGCTATTGCACCTGCATCTGCACGACATGATCCGCACTCGCCACCTGTCATTCCCGGGATCGAGTATCAGCGAAAGGACTGGTTCGATGAAATCATACCTGCCCTTCGCGGGTGGGGGCAGAATGCAGTGTTGCCACATCGGTTTGGCCAAATATCAGTAGGTTGAAGAAATAAAATGCATCATCTGGGGGCTTTGCCCCCAGACCCCCCCCCCCCCCCATATTAACCCCAGTATACACATACACACAAAGCGCACCATTAAAAAAATCACGGTTCTGTGTGAAACTCAGATCGAGTTTTCAGATTTTCCCCGAGACAGAATAATGATTTCACTTAGCACCTTAGGAGAGAGCAATGAAACAAACATGATGACCAGTAAAAGTAAAAATCTGGATCAGGACTTCTAATTCAGTTCTAAACGAAGCACAGCGTCAAAATGGGACATTTTCATGTCTGTTGTCGGCAGGAAAAGGTCGATTGTCGGTGGATCGTGATAAGCCTCCAAAATCAGCAGGCTACTGACATGTCGGCAGGTGTGGCAACACAGAGAATGTGATGTTCTTGGGTCAGAGTAGCATGGGCAAGTCCTACTTCCTGATGAAGCTATTGAACAAGGTGCAGCCCGAGCGTTTGGTGATCATTTCCAACACGCCCGCCGAGCAGTATCGCTTGGCGGGGCTGAAGAGCTTCAAACACTACAGCACCCTGCCCGAGAGCATCGAAGAGATGAAAATCGAACAGCATACGTACGTGATCATCGACGACATCCGCGTCATGTCGCTCAAGCATGGTAATCAGCGTGAGTGCCTGTACAAGTTCTTCACCATGTACAGTCACCACTACAAGCTAAACGTCTTCTTCCTGTCGCAGAGCTTTGATAATAGCTCACTGAAACGAGCAGTTTCACGCAACCCAGTGGAAGAAGCGGACTCAAGAAGGCGGGTGGGGTGCTGGATGCAACAGCTGCTTAACGGCTTGAGACAACGCCGTCGTGCACGTTCGTTCCCACCCTACTCTATGGCAAAAGACGATTCTCTCATCATCTCGGTATGCATGCGTCTGCATTTTCTTCGTCACGAGGTGGGCGCATTACCCACAAACCGCTTGAGACAATGCCGCCGTGCTATCCTCCCATCGTTCTTCTGCCTTTGATTTATCACGCTTTGTGTGCCTTAAATTCTCCTATTTCTTACTCCAATCTAGTATTTGGTTTGCTTCTTCTTTCTCCTTTCTTACTCTTCTTTTTTTTTCCTCCCTCTCTTACCAGTTTTCCCATCCCACGTATCTCATCACTCAAGCGAAAACCGGAAACCCCTCGACAGGCGAACAGCTTTTGGGAATCCTTAGGGGCCGTCCAAGGTTACCAATACTATTTTCAAAACGAAAAGTTTTCGTTTGGGGGTGGGTGGGTTTGATGGAGTTTCGTTTTGAAAATAATTATTGAATGCAGATGGAGAATGCCCAGTTACGTCTGGGTGTCGAAAATTGACATCAATATATTATTGGAATTCGTTTTACCTGCAGAAAAGGTGGGTGGGTGGGTGGGGGCTGAAAAATACTAAAACTTTTCGTTTTGTAAAAACAATCGGTAACCCCGGACGGCCCCTTAAATAAATAAATACAAGCATACATAATAATTGCCGGCCATAACGGTGCAATGTACCTGTAGCACGAAATAGCCTCCGTGTACTTGCCATCGGAGAAGAACTTGTTGCCTTCCTCTTTGTGGCGAAGCGCGTCGTCCATGGATGGCTGGGAGACGTCGATACAGAACAGATTACATGCACATACAATATGAACACTCTGCACAGTGATGAAGAGTTTGTCGTGACATATATACATATCGAGAGAGAGAGAGAGAGAGAGAGAGAGAGAGAGAGAGAGGGGGGGGGGGGAGGGAGAGGGAGAGAGAGAGAGAGACGCACCCAATAACCTGTTTGTGCTTCCTGATCCAATCACTTTCGTGCTTCCCCACAAAAAACGTCTGTGCATGACCTCATGACCTAATATGTGCCACTGTTCGAATCTTCACCCCTGTGAGCCATTCGCTGAGACTACAAGCATGTGTAGGTCTAGTATATGTACAGTGAAACCTGTGTAAGACGACCGCTCAAGGGACCTTCAAAACGTGGTCTCTGTTACCAGGTGGTCTCCTTATCCAGGTCATTTGACTGGAAATAGCATCCCTTAGTCCTGGTTTCAGTGGTCTTCTAGGACAGGTGGTCGCCTGTTCCGAGTGGTCGCCTGGACCGGTTTTACTGTACTGCAGTTCTGGCCAGAGAAACTCAACCTCATGAAAACAGTAGCACTGCGCTCGAGTGCACAGAACAGTGTGTGTAGTGCTAGGGCTGCGTATCGTGTTTTGTTCACGAGGTTGTAATTCTCTGACCAGCACCGTAAGTTGCTCAGTTTGTTTGCCTGTCTGCTGTAGGACAATAAGAAACAGGTGTTCTTTGCCAATTGTATCCTATGCTCATTTGTCTGTGCGTAATCTCATTTGCATGGAAAGAAAACGCAATGGCAACACTGTACTTCAAAAACAATATTTTAATTCTTTAAAATACACGGCTCTATTATGATTATAGAGTTATGAACATGCACACAGTCTTGTACTAAATAAGGCTTACAGTGGCAAGTATAAGTTGACAGTTGTGATCACTCATCATTCATAAATTAAATTCTCTATGGCAAACAACGAGCCACATCATCTACAAGTATAGTATTCAACCCTACAATGTTCCTGACTGTTCTTTCCAACAATCTGAGTAAGTATCGGTTGCTCCTGGTGCCATCGAGCAATAAGGCTTCACTGCAAAACGATCATTGAAAACACTCACCTCCTCAGCCACCTTGGACATCACGCAGCCTGCACGTGTTCCAACACTCTCAAGCCAGCCACAACAAAGAAACAGTGGAGTTTCACCACTGGTAGTGTACACTGTAAGGTGATTTAGCAAGACCTCGAACTGACTCAAACTAATACTTTCTCAGAATGAATGTATCGAAAATCACTGAAAACAACCAAAACAGAAACAGAAACATAAAAAAAATAGAACAGCTGTACGCCGATATGGATGGGGCTTCTCGGAACCAAGCCCACCTAACCTCAACGACGCGTTCTGCTGTGTCTGGTCTGATCTACTGCATGCCTGAGCCATGAACCATTGATTGGCATTGTACATATGCACACTCACACAGCTAGCAGAAAGAAAAAAGAAAAAAGAAATGTCCTCCCCGGCCGGGAATCGAACCCGGGTCTTCCGCGTGACAGGCGGAGATACTTACCACTATACTACCGAGGATTGACTGAGAGTTGAGAGGCTGCGGCAGATCATAACTCCTGGCTCGCTGCAGCCATGCCATTCATTGGGGGCAACCAAGAGTCATAACCCAGGTAGGGTAACTTATGTACTCTTGATACAACTAACTTACAACTTCAAGTCGTAGATCTACGATCACAACTAACCTACACTAGTTACTTCAGTGACATGCGCGTGCATGGTTATGATGATTGTCACGTGCACACAGCGAATCAGCGATTAGATACCGTTTTGACCAGGGTCTACTCGGTACTCCCTGGCTTTGACTTTTGAAGTTTTGTGGCAAGCACGATCGGAAAGAAAACGACGACGACGATGCTGCAAGCAACAAGCTAGCTGCAAGACGAACTTTGTTTTCACAAACGCGAACACACGTTTTCGGTTGTGTTTGGACAACTCAGCCTTGCAGTTATTTTGGAAGGACCGCAGTCCGGTTTCCTTTCCAGAAGTAGAGTGCAGTCAGTGCTGGGAGTGGGACAGTTGCGGGAGAGTTGTCTCAAGGTTGTCAATTCAGCCACCTCCTGGGTGAAGTAAGTTTCCGCCGACAATGGCTCCTGCGCCTAATTTCAAGCGGAAAACGGTGCCACCGGGAAAGCAGCGGCTCCGGACGCTGGGGAGATCACCGACTGAGGACTCATTGTCAGAACTCACGGACTGTGATAAGGCGATCACCAGTGCCAATGAGAGCACGGAACTACCCGCAGCAGATCTGTGTAGGAAAGCAGAAAGTCCGAACCATGGTCCCTCGTACTTCCTCACCTTGGTCATCTGCACAGGTGGATTTGCTCTTGGTTACGCAATCGGGTTTACCAGTCCGGCATCATACCAGCTGAAGGCAGCAAATGGAACGGAACCTCAAGCATACGGCAGAAACCTGGCACTGACGGGCACTGAGATCAGCTGGTTTGGGGTGAGTGGTCATCACCCGGCCGTCATCGTCACGGCATGCTCTGTGTGTGCGTGTGTTTTTTTTTGTGTGTGCGTGTGTATGTGTGTGCATGTGCGTGCGTGTGTGTATGTGGTGTGTATGTGGTGTGTATGCATGGGGGAGGGGCGTGGGTAAGTGTAAGCCGACACAGTGTGACAGTGAAAGCAACGATTCCGGGTGGCATAGTGTCACTCTGAGTGCCCATAAGCGGTTCCGCTGACTCCCGCTGAATACACAGCGTCCATAAGCGGCTCCGCTGAATCACCACCATGACATCATCATTTGCATGACCTCTATTCTGAGGTGTTCGGGGAGGAAGGAGGGGGGGGGGGTGTTACTCAACGGGGGCCCCATCGGGGGAGGGGGGGGGGGGGGGGTCACTCGCCTGACCACTCTATTCAAAACTGCTTCCGGTGGGCCTGTACATGTACGGTAGGGCCCAGGACGACTTTTGACTTTTAATGGCTGTTTTGACATTGTTAGGTCTCATCAGCAGAGCTCAGAGTCACTGGCCAAATCGATCACCATGAAGTCAAGTGAACAGCAAAGCAGTTTAGACCGGCTCAAAGCATGAACTGAGTCAATGCTCTGACTGCGAGAAACACAGCGAGCGCTTTGCACGAGGGCGGGTAACTTTGACGCTAACCGGATAGAGTGCTCAGCCAAGCCGAGGTGAGGGAGCGTCACGTATTCACCCCATGGTGGCATGGCCATGGGTGGAGCGATTTCAGCCAATCAGCGGCCATTCTGAACGGGGTATACATGTATGTACATGCTTTTAGTTTGACAGCATATTTAGTACAAGGTGGTGGAACACCGTGTTCGAAAACAGTGTTCCTTACTACAACCACTGTGTAAATATGCTGTCAAACCAAAAGCGTGTTTCTACAATACAAGGTTTATCTAATGTATGTACATGTGTGTATAGATTTTACCATGAGTACGAGGGGTATACAGCCAAATGCTTCACGGGTGCATTAGCGTGAGGGAAATATGCACACGCTATACACAGAGTATGAATGGTATCCATTTATCCCATGGTACAGTACTGTCACAAATATAGAGCGTGACCAACAGTAAAGCTCCCTTTTACTCTTGGTGTGACCCGTGTGAGCCCAAAGGGGTATGTATATCTTTGAACTGAAAGAATCGAGCGGGGTATATGTATATAATATGATAACAAGGAACCGAGTGTATATAGAGATATATACACCAGTATGAAAACCGAGGCGAAGCCGAGGTTTTTATAACTGGTGTATATATCTCGATATACACGAGGTTCCTTTGTTATAATATAATTATACCTCTCCATATTCACTGTGTGTGACCTCCTAATGGCTTGATCCTCGCTGACAACTACTGCTAATTCCCCTTAGCGGTGCATATGGAGATATATACACCACTAAGGGAGAGCATGCCTAAGACTGTAAGTGTATATGGAGTGAGGTATAAATGCTGATTATACCTCATTCCACAGGCCAAACACCTTCAAATAATGCTGCGTGGTTGATAGAAGTGATTTTTGGACCGAAAACAATCCATTTTCATCCCATGTGTCATTTAGCCTAGGAAGACAGCCTGAAAATCAATTCCGACCCTCATCTGCGTGTTGTTGTCTTGGTGTTGTGCACTGTGCAGTCGGCGCTGTTTCTTGCCGCTGGCCTGGGTGGCATTGTCGGCGGGCTAATGGCCAACAGACTGGGTCGAAGGTTGACAACAATGATCACGACCATCCCAATGATTGCCGGTGAGTATTCTGCTGTGGGCTGCGGTGTGCTGTATTGTGCATACATTCATCATTATTAGCAATACTGCAAGACGCAATTCACAAGATCGCCATTCTTCCAGGGCTACTGTGCGTGGCTACAACTTCCCGACTCAGTGAAGACTTCTGCATCATTGAAAGAATTTAAAGTGAATCTGAGGGCTTGCTGATGACTGCGTGCACCATAATAATAATAAAACTATTAAATCAATATAATCGGTTGTGGCAACAAACGCGATTAGGCCGGCTGCAGGGACGCCGTAATGTCGCACTTGCCCCAGCACCATTCAAACAATTCCCTTTGGCAGTTCACGGCACAAACTTCAACAAAGCCCCGTGAATGCGTACCAGGGGAAGGCTAGACAGCATGTCTCTAGACATCAATAGGCATCGTATGAAAAGCCAGTCAATAGCACTAAAGAGCGAAAGCCTTTGTCACGGTTCGGTTTCACTCGCGCACCGGGCCCGAGCTGGCAGCACAAACGAACGCCGGACGCGAGCTGGCAGCACAAACAAACGCCGTACTCACACGAGACCGTTGGGCCAACGGATGGCCACAGCCATCAAAAACAGGAACAAACCCATCCACGGCTCTTTCTCTTGCTAGCTGTGCTGCTGCGTGCATCCAACTGTTTTGCAATTTCAAAAAGCCCAGCGAGTGCAGATGCGATGCACGGACGATGAGAGCTATTTCGATGTCGAAAAAGAAATGAACGAGCTCGAAAGATCATAATTATGAGAGAGCGGAAGGCGGAAGGGACGATCACAGATCTAGCTGGTTTATACGAAGCAGAGAGCTGCTCAGCAATGCGAGAGAGAAGGATAAGATGATTAGTGAGCTGGAAGTACTCCAGAGGCAATTTGACGAAGCGACGGACTTGGCGTTTGAAATTGTAAGAACAACTCACCGCGTGCCAGTCGCCTCAGCTGAAACGCAGCAGTATACCGGTAATTCGCATCAACAGTGCCGCGATGAAGCCAGTGAAGTCGGCGGCTGGTGGCCAGGACATGTTTACAGCAATGAACCGTCCGCAGGACCACGGCTTGGGTTTGAGTCACAGCCGGGATTGCTGGCCAGATCGCTACAACAACGAGACGTGAACAGGTCCGCCAGCGGAGATGCAACAAATGCAACTGATCAACAACTACGTTTTGACACGGATGACCGCACAGCAGTAACAGGGCATTCGATTATTTCAACAGCTACTGGTACACATGGTACTGGTGGTACCATCCCAGATCAGAGGTCACCAGCGCAGCGCTGTCCAGTCCAACAGTCATTGGCCAGTATACAGATGGTTCCGCAACAGTGACCATGACAAGTGCCACTACATGTACCACAGTAAGTGTCAATGATGGTGTGAGTGTTCTTGCTAGGCCTGCTACTGCAAACACAACTACCTCAGGCAGTACATCTAGTAGTAGTTCTAGGTTACTGGTCCTACATTACCCTTGGGCAGTACTGGCAGTAGCAATGTTCTTCCAAGCAATTCTGTATACTCAACCAGTACGCATAGTGTGAATACTGCAGTGAATACTAAGTACAGTGTTCGTACACAGGCCAATCCACACTCTTTCAGAAAGCCTCCAGTGTCAATGGCAGCGCCCCAGTCATGTATCCAGTGGCAGGCACCGCCTATTAGCACAATGTCAATGGCTTCTACAGGTACTAATGTATATGGGCATACCGACCAACCACAGTTGTCTTCCGGGTACATGCAACAGCCAAGGGTTATGCAACACCACCGGTGACAAACGTACGTTTGAGTCATTCCGAGAAGCTTTCATGGCATGTCTAGATAGTGCACCCGCCACCCCTCAGTACAAGCTGTTGCAATTGAGGCAGTATTTGGCAGGAGAAGCACTAACAGCCATCGAGCGATTTGGCTACTCACCATCAGCCTATGACGCAGCTAAGAAGTTGCTAGAGCGCAAGTATGGCGGTGAGCGTCGCCGTGTGGCTTTACATATTGAACGCGCACAGCCACTTGACCACATCGATGGGTCTGCAACCAGTGGTACCTCCACGTGCACAGCCAACACTCCCAACAGTAGCAGCAGCAACAGCAGCACAGCGGGCTGGTCGAGTCTCTGTTGATGTTGTGGTGCCTGAGCGCCACATGCGCGACAGCCTGGAAACGACTGCACCAATTCTGCAAACTAGTCGGCACCAAGGTGATTACAGACACCATCATGCTGGCGTTTGTAGCCTACCTGGCACGTCAACATGCCGCGTCAACTGTCCGCTTGTATGTGTCGGCGATCCGGGCAATTGCCAAAGAAAACGGCAAAGATCTCTCTTCGCGAAGAGTGGACCTCGCAGTTAAAGGAGTGGCACGCGCACAGGCCAACCGAACTAAGAACGCCAGCAAGCCAATCCTCCGGCCCCACATGGCAGCTATGCGCAACGCCCTGATTAGGTCTAATCTCAACGCTACCGACCGAGCCATGGCATGGGCAGCCATTTGCCTGGGCTTCTTCGCCTGTCTCCGGGCAAGCGAATACACTTCCACAACCGCCACAACCATGTCAGACAGGGGCCTCCGAACAAATGACCTCTCCATCACGCCGCAGGCCATACAGGTCACAATCAAGAAGTCCAAGACCGACCAACTCGGCAAGGGTCACTCCGTCCGGCTCACAACCACCAACTCAACGGTTTGCCCGGTCAGAGCCATGCATACCTATCTCTCCAGACGCACCAACCTGCCCAATAGACCAGTGGTCATCGAAAGCTGTGGCAATTTCCTGGCTGCACAAAGACTCACACGTCTAATCCGTCAGCTCCTGAGCAGCCCAGGGTACCCACCGAACCAGTATCCACTGCACGGCGTCAGAGCCGGACCCGCAACCACAGGAGCATTGAGCGGCTTCACCGAATCCGAGATCATGAAACTCGGCAGATGGTGAAGTGCCTGCTGCAAGCACTATGTCCGCTGTGGAAAGTAACTGTTCACCGTCCGCAGGCGCGCAAGCGCGCACAGCCACATACACGCACCCGCATACACACGCACACATGACGCGCACACCCACATGCATGCACACACGCATGCGTACGCGCACCCGCACTCTGACACCGTGCAAGCATGCACACACGCTGCGCACCCACTGGTACGCCCACTCGCGGACGCACGCACTCACGTTCTAGCACTGACTGTGCACGCACGCTTCTGATACTTATGAGAAGCTATCTGCTCCACTTAGTTGCGGTGCTATTGCTCTCACCTATGGCACCATGCCACCCATAGCTTTTGCGACTGCATGCGATTCAAACCCTTATCAGTGTCACTAAGGGAATACAAACATACGAATGGCATGCATTCGAACTACACGCATGTAGCTGAAGCGCTTGAATACCATACTAACTTAACTAAGGTCATTCAGCTGACCAACGTGGAATTTGGGGGCATTCGGCGGCTTGGTCTGATTCCTAGCTTGTTGGTAACCGGCTTGAGATTTCCAAGGTTGCTATGACAACGTGCAGTCATGCGCAGGGCCACCCACCATGCATTTTGGGGCCCAGGAAAGACAGAAACACGTTGCTAGGCAACAGCAAAAGCGCTTGGCGAGTATCACGCTACTCATGCAGCGCGCACATTGGCGTAGGGTATCACGCTACCCTTGTGCTGCGTAGGGTATCACGCTACCCTTGTGCTGCGTACGGTATCACGCTACCCTTGTGCTGCGTAGGGTATCACGCTACCCTTGTGCTGCGTAGCGTATCACGCTACCCTTGTGCTGCGTAGGGTATCACGCTACCCTTGTGCTGCGTAGCGTATCACGCTACCCTTGTGCTGCGTAGCGTATCACGCTACCCTTGTGCTGTGGGGTACCACATTGCCCATCGCTGGAATCAGACCCGCGCCCCGGATACCTTGCGCTGGCGCAAGCGCGCACAGCCACACCCACATACACGCACCCGCATACACACGCACGCACCCCCCCCCCCCCACGCATGCACACACATATGCATGCACGCGTACGCGCACCCGCAGTCTGACACCGCGCAAGCACGCATGCAGGTACACACGCTGCGCACACGCTGGTACGCCCATTCGCGGACGTATGCACTCACGTTCTAGCACTGACTGTGCACGCACGCCTCTGATACTTATGATAAGTTACCTGCACCCTCAGTTGCTGTGCTATAGCTCCCACCTAAGGCATCATGCCACCCATTGCTTTTGCCGACTACATGCGGTTCAAACCCTTATCAGTGTCACTAAGGGAAAACAACCATACGAATGGCACGCATTTGAACTACGTACATGTAGCTGAAGCGCTTGAATACCACACTAAGGTCATTCGGCTGACCAACGCAGAATTTGGGGGCATTCGGCGGCTTGGTCTGATTCCTAGCTTGTTGGTAACCGGCTTGAGATTTCCAAGGTTGCTATGACAACGTGCAGTCATGCGCAGGGCCACCCAACATGCATTTGGGGGCCCAGGAAAGACAGAAACGCGTTGCTAGGCAACAGCAAAAGCGCTCGGCGAGTATCACGCTACTCATGCAGCACGCACGTTGGCTTAGGGTATCACGCTACCCTTGCGCTGCGGGGTACCACATTGCCCCTCACTGGAATCAGACCCGCGCCCCGGATACCTTGCGCTGGCCTCCTGACGGCCAAACTCAACCAACTTGTGCGCTGTGACTGGGGTTGTGCATGTATTAGCAACATAATGTGGCCCAGGTCGGCAGACTTTCAATTAGCCAAGCGAGCTACTCAGGCCAGGGTGCATGATCACTATTCGCAGCACTTATCGTCCATGCAGCAGTCGGGTTAAAGTTTTTCGGATTTTTCCTTTTCATGTATATAATCTTCTCCTTCTTTTACCATGGTTGGCTATCACCCACATCTTCCCGTTTTGGCTGCCATTGGAAGCCATAAGATGTTGAATAAATAAATAAAAGACCAGATATTTTAACATCAATAAACTGTTGAACGGTACCTTTCGGCTGTTGATTAATAAACTAACTCTCCTCCTCCATGCGCTCTAAAGCCGACCATTGCTACCCTCGGTAGCCATTACTCACACCAATAACTTCAAACAACGAAGGGGTCACGGGTAAAAAATTTCCTTCTGACAGCTGTTTCGCCTATCAAAGGCTCGTCAGAGAAGGTGATACTGATATTGTAATTGACATGGCATACTGATTTTATACGGTGTAATTATTATGGGCGCAAAAAAGAAACTAGGCAAGGTGTAACACTGAGAAGTTCCAAGAACAGATATTTTAACGTCAATAATTTGAATTAAAGTTAACGATCTCCGAATTTTTGTGGGTCAACATGTACATATCGCTTCGCACATAACGATTTTAATGTTAAAGGGGAAGTTAAGGCTAAAATCAAAATTTCACCAGTTGTAGTCTTCGGGGTGCTGAGTCGAATGGTCTTGGTCCGAGAAAGCTGAGACGCTCCCTTCCTACTTGAATCCCAATCGAACTCGCGCACTTCCACCGAAACTGGGTGACTGCGCCCTACTAGACGGGGATTTGTATGCAAAATGTCACTAAAAGCGCCATTTCGTTCTTATAAAAGCACGGATGACCGCGATTGGCCCATATGTTGTAGTCTTTTGGACGCTGAGTCGACTGGTTTTGGTCCGAAAAGGCTGCGATGCAGCGTTCCTCCTTTATTCCCAATCGAACATGGTTGAACAAGCGGTCACATGCTCCTGGGTGCCCAAATCACCTGGTCACCACGTCAGCACTCCCCAGCAGGCGACGACTTTCACGCCAAGGTTCAACTCGAGTGACAGGACTGCACCCAAAAAAGGTCAAACAGGCTAGTAAGTTGTACCCTGCAGGCACGGTGACCAGGTGACTGGTGTACGCAGGAGCACGTGACCGCTTGTTCAACCGTGTTCGATTGGGAATAAAGGAGGAACGCTGCATCGCAGCCTTTTCGGACCAAAATCAATCGACTCAGCGTCCAAAAGATTACAACATATGGGCCAATCGCGGTCATCCGTGCTTTTATAAGAACGAAATGGCGCTTTTAGTGACATTTTGCATACAAATCCCCATCTAGTAGGGCGCAGTCACCCAGTTTCGGTGGAAATGCGCAAGTTCGATTGGGATTAAAGGAGGAAGGGAGCGTCTCCGCTTCCTCGGACCACGACCATTCGACTCAGCACCCCGAAGATTATAACTGGTGAAATTTTGATTTTAGCCTGAACTTCCCCTTTAACGATTCTTTCAAATTCGTTAACTCGTTAGAACTAAATGTTCGTTAACATTACTGGTCTTACAGTACATACTATAGCAGGTGCTGACTCTGGCGCCGAAGCGCAGATCCTGATTTTCGGGGAATTCCCCCGGTACAAGTGTGACCGTCTAGATGAGAACACAGTTTGAAAACTTTCTTTATCCCCGTTTGGAAATGACTTTGGCCCTAGGGTTTGTTGCATGACTGTGTTTGCTGAATTTTGCGTTGTATTTATTTATTGATTTGCACCTTTCTCAAAATGCGAAGACTCCACTGTAGCCATCCGCTATATCCATACATCTTCACTCTCCAAACGGTCTCTGGGCTACACCAATCACTAAAAGAAAAAGATATATTAAATTAGAAAGGAAAAGGACATATGGAAACGAGTTGAGAGTAACTATCCACCACTGTAACTAGATACTATATACAGTCAGAAAGTGCAACAACTAGGCACAAAACTGACAGAGTACTGAGACATTCGACGTCAACTCGTTTCCATATGTCCTTTTCCTTTCTACTTTTATTATTGGCTCAATACCCGAGTTTCAGATATTAAATTATTCGAATTTGTACCTTTGCGTTAATATGGTGCTGCATCTGCCACCCTGGTATAATCAGGCGTGGTGGTGTCCTGGCACGAGCGAAATTTCTCTAGGGGGTGGTCGCAAAAGATTTTTTTGTCGTCCCTGAAACGAACATCATTCGCTTGGGGGGGGAGGGGAGGGGGGGGGGGGAGAGGGTGCGAGCCAAAATCGCAAGTTGACCGACACTGTACATATGGCATATACATTATTATACATGCATGCGATTTTCGTCCAGCATAGCAAGCTGCGTTCGTTTCAGAGGGAGAGGTCCGAGTACGAAATGAATGATGTTCGAGTTTCAGGGACCACAGAAAGCGTTTGCGATGACCCCTAAGCTGGTTGTGTTTCTCAACACAATTGTAAGCCGGTTGTAACACGGATGTGCAAACTTTACTTTACTTTTTTACCTTTGCTTTGTGCTTGTGTTTCCCTTGCCAGGCTGGGTGCTGATTGTGCATGCCAACCAGGTCGCAATGCTGATCACTGGGCGTGTACTGCTCGGATGGGGCGTGGGTGTGCTGCTGCTAGTTAATCCGGTGAGTTTGGCACTGTGGCCACCACCCCTGCCTGCATCATGAGTTCTGTTCATCACGCTACTAGTACAGTCATGTACAACAGCCTAACCCTTCATCATTCCCTGTTCTGCAACTGTGGGAACACCCCCACCACTTGTACAGTAAAACCTGTAACTAGGGGTGAAACAATTATACCGAATACTCGAGTACTCGCTCGGTTTTTTCTAACATAATCGTACTCGGAATAAAACGGAGTACTCGTTCATACATGGTACATGCATTTACCACAGAAATCTGCAGTTTCAGAGCAGCAGTCGGCAGATATTGATGTGCAGACTGTGTGGTGAACATTTGTTCACGAGTAGAGAGAGCCCAAATGACCCACCAACCAATATACCCGAGAAAAATGACCGCTACTCGGTTCAATCAGGGTTGTATCATGATGTGATCTTAAGGCCCTTGGTGTGCAATTTTTAGGAGATGAAGAATACTCGAATATTCGATCGGAGAAAATCAGAGTACTCGAACTCGGGATCTCATTGCGAACTTTCACCCCTACCTGTAACTAAAGACCACCGTGACTAGCAACCAGCCTGGTACTACAGACCACTTCGCCAGACACGGACAGTCTCACACTCATCTATTATGGTTGTGCGGTGCAAACCTCTAACTAAGGACCACCTGTCACTAAAGACCGCTTTCTCTGACCCCAAGGGGTGGTCGTTATAGTGCGTTTCAAAAGTATAGACCTCTAGACTTTTTCGAATAATTCAAATTTGGTTTGAACTTTCTGAGAAATTTCTTCGGAATATTGCTCAGGCAGCTTTTAGCAAATTTAGGTCTGCGCCTGCTAAGGGGGCGCGCGAATCGGGCCACTTCCTGGTCGCAACGGACACTTCGACAGTTAGCGGCAATGATTACTTTACACGTTACAGTTAGAAAGATTCGGCAGACTACATATGAACAAGAAATAAGTACAGGGGCAAGGAGCCATAAAAAGGTGCTTCGGCAAGGGCCAAGCAAGCAGAGAGAGATTGTCAGGAAGAGAAAAGGCAAGCTGGCTGGCGGCAACCGTATGCAAAAGTGAGGTTCGTGGCATACGGTACGCCAATATGCTAACGTACGCTAAAGCCAGTGCTTCCAAAAACATTGCGGAAAAGTGCAGCGTGGGCAGCACAAAAGCCACGTGGGTGACTGTGAGAATTATGACGTAGCAAGTCGTAGCACGACATCACTCCCCCGCCAGTGGACTGACGAAGGATAGTGCACGAAATGTAGAAAACAGATTGAGTAAGGCTAAGTAAATGTACAAGATTAGTGTTGCTATGGCGGATGCGGTATAGCAAGCGGCAAGAAAACGAGAAATATATAAAGTGGATATGTACAAGAATATTTACAAGTCATTGCAAATGGATACAGGGTGTATGCACCGATGACGATCACACACAAGAAATTCAGTCATTCCAATGAATTCACTCATGCCAATGGACAATACGATGCTGAATTGATACTGACCCAGATGGGGTGGTCGCTGGCAGGATGGCCGAGACAGGTGGCGCACTCGCGGCAGTGTCGGGGAGATACGCAGGCTTGAGCCGGTCAACGGAGACACTATCCTCCTTGCCATTGAGCAGTATGGTGAAGTACTTGTTGTGCCGAGAGATAACCTTGAACGGGCCTTGATAGGGCGGCTGGAGGGGTTTACGCACAGCATCCGTGCGGACATACACATGCGTCGCTGTGGCTAGGTCGCCGGACACCCACACGGAACGGTTGCTGGATCTGGGAGTGGTGGGTCGTAATGCCTGCAGAGATGTGCGGAGGGCTTGGACATAGTGAGACGGGCTGGGTGAGGTTGAAAAGCTGGGCTCGTAGAATTCACCAGGAAGACGCAGTGTTGTGCCGTAGGTGAGCTCGGCTACACTGCAGTCTAAATCGGCTCTGTACGCTGCACGGATGCCGAGCATGACGAGGGGAAAATTGTGTGACCAGCTGCCGGATGCCTGTGCCATTAGGGAGGACTTCATGTGGCGGTGGAATCGCTCGACCAAGCCGTTACTCTGGGGTTGATACGCAGTGGTGCGTAGGCGGGAGGATCCGAGTAGCTTCAACAATGCAGCGAATAAGCTTGACTCGAATTGTCTGCCACGGTCGGTGGTGATCACTGATGGAGTGCCAAAACGGGACACCCATTGTAGCAGGCCACGTGCGGTTGACTCGGCTGTACAGTCGCGTAGTGGTATTGCTTCGGGCCAACGGGTGAAACGATCCACACACGTTAGCAGATACGTGAAACCTTGGGATGGCTGCAGAGGTCCGACGAGGTCGATATGGATGTGATCGAACCGGGCGTCAGGCGGCATGAATTTCGACAGTGGTGCCGAGGTATGCCGGTGTACTTTGGACCGCTGACATTCATGGCAACAGCGAGTCCAAGCGCGCACATTCTTAGAAATGGCAGGCCAAAAATACCGAGCTGTGATCAGACGCTGCGTTGCTTTGATGCCAGGGTGGCTGATGCTGTGGAGCGAATCGAAAACAGGTCTACGGAATGCTTCTGGGACATACGGCCGTGGTGTACCGGTGGATACATCGCACAAGAGCGGGACAGGAGAGAACGGCAGCGAGATAGACTTGAAATCGAGACTGGTGTCTGGACGAGTACGGAGTGCCTCGAGCTCTGGGCAGTTGGTCTGGGCAGCCGCAAACTTGGTGAAATCAATGGGTTGCTGGATGGCATTGACAGACGGTCGGGAGAGTGCATCCGCAACAACATTGTCCACGCCCTGGATGTGCTGCAGGTCGGTGGTGAACTCTGCCACATATGCAAGTTGACGCTGCTCACGCGGGGACAGGCGGTCGGACGCGGTGCGGAGAGCAAATGTCAGGGGCTTGTGGTTCGTATACACTGTAAACTCTCGACCCTCGAGATAGTGACGGAAATGGCGGATGGACAGGTAGATTGCCAGGAGTTCTCGGCTGAATGTGCTGTAGCGTGTTTCGGCCGGCTGTAACCGCTTCGAGAAGAATGCAATGGGCTGCCAAGTCGAGTCGACCAGTTGGTTCAGGGCAGCACCAACAGCGAAATTGGACGCATCAACCATGAGGGCGATCGGAGCGTTAGGTTGGGGATGCGTGAGAAGCGTAGCAGCGCTGATGGCTTCCTTGGCGGCAGTGAAGGCAGCTCGAGCTGTGTCACTGAGGACGATAGCTTTGTTCTTCGGCGTCTTGGGGCCAGCGAGAAGATCAGACCTGGGGATGAACCGGCGATAAAAGTTCACTAGCCCCAGGAAACGACGGAGTGCACGAAGAGTTGCAGGCTCAGCATACTCAATGATGGCTTGCACCTTCTCGGGCAGGGTGTGGAGGCCTGCAGCGTCGACTTGGTGGCCGAGGAAGTTGACGACCGGTGCCAGGAACTCACACTTGTGCAAGCTGATGATGAGGCCATGGTCCTCGAGACGTTGAAACACAGTACGGATGTGCTCCAGGTGCTCTTCTCGAGAGGTGCTAGCGACTAGCAAGTCGTCCATATAGACGAAGCAGAAAGGGGAGGCCCTGCAGTACTTGATCTATGAACCTTTGGAACGTCTGACCTGCATTGCGCAGGCCAAACGGCATGCGGACGAACTCGTAGAGGCCGAATGGCGTAACGACGGCTGTCTTTGGTATGTCGTCAGGGTGGACGGGAATCTGATGATATGCCCGCCGGAGGTCAACCTTGGAGAAAATTTTAGTGCCGTGGAGCGAACTAGCAAAATCCTGCAAGTGGGGGACAGGATACCGATCTGGGACCGCCTTGGCATTTAGCGCACGGTAATCACCGCAGGGACGCCAATCGCCGTCTGACTTAGGCACCATATGCAGGGGCGAAGACCACGGGCTGGAGGATGGCCGGATGATGCCTAGATCAGCCATGTGCTGAAACTCAGCCTTAGCGGCGGCCAGGCGATCGGGTGGCAGACGGCGTGCACGGGCATGGGCGGGTGCACCAATCGTTTCGATGAAGTGAACGGTGTCATGCTTGATTGTTTGGGGCTGCGCTGCAGAATTGGTCAGTCCAGGGAATTCCTGCAGGAGTAAATTCACCTCCGGTTGCTCGGTGAGCGGCGGTGCTAGAGACGAAGTATCCTGGCCGTGAGCTAGGACGGCATGCACGGAGAGATCGGTCACGGTGTCATGCAGGGCACGGTTGCGGATGTCTACAGTGAGACCGAACTTGTGGAGGAAATCAGCTCCGAGAATTGGACTAGAAACATCGGCGATCACAAAGAGCCATGGGAATGACCGACGAAGACCGAGGTCAAGGGTGAGCGATCGACAGCCATATGTGGGAATGCTAGTTCCGTTGGCTGCACGCAACGTGTCAATGACGGCGGTCTGCTTGCCTTTACGGAACGTGGTTGGCAAGACACTGACGGCGGCGCCAGTGTCGACTAGGAGACGCAACCCCGTGACACGGTCTCGGACATAGAATAGGCGACATGTGGTCTGCAGGCCAGCGGTGCTGGTCGCCAACAGGGGCTGGCCAGCTAGTTTGACGGCCGGGAGCAGGGTGGTCGGCAGTTCTTAGCTTGGTCGCCAAACTTGCTATGAAAGAAACACAGGCCGGGCCGACCAGGCGAGTTGTTCCGTGAGCGCGGTGGACCAGATCCACGGCCAGGGATGCGACCCCGGGATCCGTCCAACCGTTTATGCAGAGAGCTGACGGCCTCGGTCAGGGCAGCAATCTGTTGCTCCAGGGCGGACATCCGAGCGTCGTCCTGTGATGGGCGTTGGATGGCGGAGACTGAGGCCTGGGTTGTCTCCATAACCCGGTCAGCAATGGCAGCTAGTTCGGAAAGGCTTGTAGCCTTTGGGGTCGACGCAAGGACCAGCTGGGCATTGCTCGGAAAAAAAAAATTCACGGTTCGCGTGAGACTCGGCCAAAGGCCCAGTTTTCCGCATCCGCAGGAACGCCACCACCCTCTTGGATCAAGGCGCAGATGCAGTTCCTAAGCGGTGGGAGGTGAGTAGATCAG